ACAACTCGTTTGTACAAATTAAGGTTGTAAAACCTCCACTCGTTGGTCATCAAGTTGAAATAAAACTATTTTTAAATTTGGAATTTTAGTGACAACGTAAATATGAGTAGGGGAAACATGTTTGACTTTAAAGTCAACACTGAAATATATCCAATTCAAACTTTGAGAGAGATACATGAATATTTCACACTGTTATGTTACACAAAATAGAGGACATACTTTAAATAACATTAACTTTAAAATAATTTTAAACATGCTTTGGTTACTTGGCAACCTGGAATGCTTTCTCCAAGGAGCCAATGAAACATGTTCGTGTCCTACATTCAGAAAGTTCCAATCAGTAGTTGAGTAGTACATATCTAACATATGTTATATTTGGGATTACCCTTTCTCAGTAAAGTACAGATTCTAGTTCTTTTGTTGGGTTGAATCCCATCTGGGATTCAAACCCACACCTTCAGAGTCAGGCACCTATTCGCCAGCGCACAAAGTCAGCCGCCTAATCTGCTCAGCCACTGTGGCTTCCTATCTGCAAGAATAAGAATGCATGCAAAAGGTCATCTTAACATTTAATCATCATTTGACTGTTTTCCAAATGAAGAAAGAAACTTGTCATGTGAGTCAAGTTTCAGTATTTTTTAATGCTTGCATGCTTCAGGTATTTTGTTACTCCCAAATAACAAAAGATGTAAAAGGAAAAAAACTAGCAGGCATTGAAACAGTTGCTGTGGGTTTTATTACAAATACCTCAGTCGCAATGCAGAAACACTAGTGTTGTGAAGGAGTGTTTACTCAGGCAATGAGTTATGAGGTAGCGTCCATCTAGATACTATCACTTTATTGACATTGATAACAGCTACCCAGCTAAATTGAAGATCTTCTGATATTTGCCTCTTATTTCACAATTTTCTGGTGAAGATGACGGTTATATTGGTCGAAAATAGAGTAATTGTTTAGACAAGAGACTTTGGTCGGACTTTGAATGTGTTTCATTGCAATATGGAGTCATCATCTGGGAGAAATGTTATGTCATGTATTGACTTGACGTTTATTTTGATGTTTGTTGAATATTGACAGTTTCTTCATGGAACATTGAGCAATAAATGTCTTATCTTATTGTCTCGGGTTTTTTGTAGGAATGTTTAAGGCTTTCACTAGTTACACCAAAGACTTGCATTTGATTTCCCACATTTGTCTCGGTCTCTTCAACCCCTACGACCCAACAACCCCCACAACCCCCCACCCCCCCACCCACCCCCACCCCATCACACAATGTCGCTGGAATGTTGCTCAAAGCACTAAAAATCATATTTTGTTGAGAAGGTTATTTTGTTAATTATTTGGCATGTAGTTGTTATCTTATGACTGTTAAGAGAAAAGTTTTGATCCATGAAATGTTAAAATGTGATTAGTTGTGTGGACTATGTGTTGAGGTAGTCCTAACTCACGTACGTCAATGTTTATAGAGCAATAGACAATGTCATGTACTACTTTACATTATAGTGAAAGATTCCTCATCAGAATGTTTGCTTGGCAAGAAAAACATCCTTCATCCGATAATCTCAAATGTCTGTCAAACTTTTAATTCTGGAGTTCTGCTAAATACACATTTGCAAGTTTTTCATGCAAATCTTGAATGCACATCAGCCAAAACCGGATGTAGTTATATTAGTTATTCACAAAAATTAAAATCTGTCTTTTTCAATGCTATGGATGAAACAGAATTTAAACATCTTTCAAGAACAGACAACATTCTTGAAAGCTATTTTTACGAAAACAGATCAAACAAATGGGGAAAGAACAGAAAAATATGACAACCCCTTGTATACCTTGTACCGTATTTGCCATAATAAGCATCCTGGACAGGAGAGACAGCAGGGCCTACAGTTATGTTTGTTGTTGTTGTTGGACAACTAGAGGTCGAGACCAAACTTAAATGAATGCATTTAACCTTTAAATTTAAATTTAAATGACTTTTGATAACAGTGACAAGGTAATTATATACTGTCGGTGTAGACTGTCTAGTATTATGTAGTATGCACAACAAAATACAGGTGTATGTAAATTGTTTACTTCAGTGTTTTGGTTTATACAAATTACAAACCAGGTGGTGTGGAAGCTGGTCATAGGATCCGTGTTGTAGTGATGGCACAAAATACAGTAGTTTAAGAATTAGGACTATTCTATTTTTACATCTTGAAGTGGTTCATTGTTGATTGAACACTGCTAAACCTTAACGATGAACCACCTCAAAGTTAAAAACAGATTATGTTCGTATCCAATTTACCATGACTAAGATGGCTTATTTTCTTGTGTATGTATGCAGTGCAGTGATGCAGTCAGAAGTGGTTATTGCTCGTTAACCATTTTAATTAAGTAAATTTAACCAATCATATTAGATCATCCTTTAGTGTCATGGTAGAGAAAGGTACATCCCCCTGCTATAATACTCTGTCATACTTCACTTGCTGCTGACGTTTGCAGATCGATGAACAGGAGAGCTAACACGTATAACACGATCATGTACTGTGTGAGTTCTGAATATATCGCAGGGCGGTGGGTAGCCTAGTGGTTAAAGCGTTCACTTGTCACGCCAAAGACACAGGTTCGATTCCTCACATGGGTACAATGTGTGAAGCCCATTTGTGGTGTCCCCGCCGTGATATTGCTGGAATAATGCTGAAAATGGCGTAAAACAAAACTCACCCACTCATCACCTGAAGCTGACTCTCTCAGCTGTGTTATATTTGAATAGAGAACATGGTGAACTACCATCATCATCACATTGAGCCTGGAGTGACAGCTGGAAGCTCTTGCTGACATCCATACCAGCTAGACCTCTCTGCCAACACAGCCAACACACCGCCAAGCTTATGGCAGCACTGTTGACATTTTGTGCAAACAAACATGTCCTTACTGAGACATGATCACATAAAGAAGCTGTGTGTATGGTTCAGGTTCCTTGAGCTTCATCATAATAAGATATTGACGAGTTATTTATTGTTGGCAGGAATCATTAATTTGCTTCAGCTGCGGCAGTATCCAATGACTGCCCATACTAAGTTCTACGATAATTGCAGAAAGTGTGTGGAAATGAAGTAATCTAAACCTCTGTCATAAGTCTCCTATGGCATAACTCTCTCCTGTTTATGGCCAGTGCCCGTCACAGTCCATAAAACAAGGTTAAGTCTGGCAATATTGTCTAGTTTTCATGGGAATACAATATGACTGTATATTCTTGCAACGTAGTTCCTCAGCACTCCATAGGGCGGTACGTGGGTAGCCTAGTGGTTAAAGCGTTCACTTGTCACGCCAAAGACACAGGTTCGATTCCTCACATGGGTACAATGTGTGAAGCCCATTTGTGGTGTCCCCGCCGTGATATTGCTGGAATAATGCTGAAAATGGCGTAAAACAAAACTCACCCACTCATCACCTGAAGCTGACTCTCTCAGCTGTGTTATATTTGAATAGAGAACATGGTGAACTACCATCATCATCACATTGAGCCTGGAGTGACAGCTGGAAGCTCTTGCTGACATCCATACCAGCTAGACCTCTCTGCCAACACAGCCAACACACCGCCAAGCTTATGGCAGCACTGTTGACATTTTGTGCAAACAAACATGTCCTTACTGAGACATGATCACATAAAGAAGCTGTGTGTATGGTTCAGGTTCCTTGAGCTTCATCATAATAAGATATTGACGAGTTATTTATTGTTGGCAGGAATCATTAATTTGCTTCAGCTTCGGCAGTATCCAATGACTGCCCATACTAAGTTCTACGATAATTGCAGAAAGTGTGTGGAAATGAAGTAATCTAAACCTCTGTCATAAGTCTCCTATGGCATAACTCTCTCCTGTTTATGGCCAGTGCCCGTCACAGTCCATAAAACAAGGTTAAGTCTGGCAATATTGTCTAGTTTTCATGGGAATACAATATGACTGTAATGCAACGTAGTTCCTCAGCACTGCATGGAAGTCTGGAATATTCTTGTTGACCTTGTGTTGACATACCTTCCAGACAGAACATTTCCTGAGAAACCACTGCATTATAATATGTTTTATCCTATATCCTTCCATAGGGACAAGGGACGGTGGGGTAGCCTAGTGGTTAAAGCGTTGGCTTGTCACGCCGAAGACCCGGGTTCGAATCCCCACATGGGTACAATGTGTGAAGCCCATTTCTGGTGTCCCCTGCCGTGATGTTGCTGGAATATTGCTAAAAGCGGCGTAAAACCAAAACTCAGTCAGCTCAGTCCATAGGGAGATCATGTATCAGCACAGCCAGGTGCAAACCCAACATCTCTCCTATATGTTATTTCCAGCCTGACTTTAGTCATGAGGTCAAAGGAGTTAGTGTTTGCTCATCAATGTGGAGGTCTTGGTTTGCTGCCCTATATGGTTCAGGTACTTATGTGGTATAACTGATGTATTGCTTAAATGATGCAAAAACAGTCACGCTTAAGTGTTTAGAAAGGGAAGGTGTTAGTTCTTATTTTATTTTTTAAGTTAGTATTAATTTGATTTAATATTATTAAATAGGTTTTGTTAGGCCCAAGGGGGCTGCAAGCCAAGTTTGGGGAATCACATGTATTGTGATCATTGTGTAACACCACGACAACCTGTTTATATCACTGAAATACTGTTCTGGGTCCTACTCCCCAAAGCCATCTTAGCACAATGATGATTGCAACTCCCCTACCTTGGCTAAGATAGTCTGGCAGTCTTTGTGCTAATCTCACGATTTAGGAACACAGCCCAAGACACACGAAGCACCAAGACCAAGACTGTTTTACTGCCTGTCATGATAAGTCTACAAAACGTGTCACTTCTGTTCAATAAGCTTTAGTAGATTTATAGGAATTACTGATAACATCCACTCTTCCTTGTTTCCAGAACAGGGTAAACTTACACCCCCCTCATTCACTTTGTGTAAGGATCCAGGTGTTAGTCCTAAATGAATTACTTACGACATCGACTCTTTCTTGTTTCCAGATGGCCTAAATGAAGTAAAGGCTGGCTGCAAGCTGTTTGTGCGCCTCATCACTGAAGACATGCTCTTGAACAGCGTCACGATCCGACTGGACCGGATGACGGAGCAGGCCTTCCTCTCTCCACTCTTCAGGTTCTTCGTGGATGCCCTTGCTTCCATCTTGCATGTGGAGGATACGAAGATCTACGTCATCAACGTGGAGGATGACATCGATGTACCTGGACAGGTGCTCAACGTGACTGTTTCAGTAAAGAAGGATGAGGTGAATGTACGGGGTGGAAGCAAGGACGTGTTCTATCCCCCGCGGAATTCATCCAGGAGAACATCTACCTGCAGCGTTCTATGCTGGCCAATCTATCTACTCTGCAGGTAAGCCATAGTGACACACGGCATTAAATAAACTTTGGAGTTGACCAACTTTCTGGAACCCTGCTTGGCTTGCTTTGACTCGCTGAATACTTGCAAGCTGTCGTGTTGAAACTGACATTGTAAACAAGTCACCGATTGCTCAGTCACTTCTTGGCAAGAAATTACTGCTGCCTGTGATGGAAGGACATTATAAACAACTCACTTATTGCTCAATCACTTTTTGGAGAAGAATCACTGCTGTCATCACTTGGTGTCGCTGACACGTTAGTCGTGTCCATTACTGCCGTGCTCAATAATATTCAAATATGAATAGAAAAATGATCATGTAAAAACAAAACTTGTTGCTTAAGCTGATCATGTAATTGGGTATTGAAACTTTGGATTTAAAACTTAAATGTCAGCAAACCTGCTGTTTTCATTGATCTCGTCATTAGCCGTTTAGCATCGCCAGCGAACAGCGATACTTGTTGCTTAAGCTTGTCATGTAATTGGGTATCGAAACTTCGGATTTAAAATTTAAATGTCAGCAAACCTGCTGTTTTCATTGATCACGTCATTAGCCGTTTAACAAGTGAATCATCGCCAGCGAACTTTGTTTTTGTAGGTGCTTCCGTTTGATGACAACCTCTGCATGAGGGAGATGTGCTACAACTTCGAGGTCTGTCAGACAAAACTGGTGTTTGACTCGGCTGCGGACTTCATCAAGTCTGACACCATGCTGTTCCGATCCATCCATCCGGAGAGTGGCTACAGATGTGTGTGTCCTATTGGCTTCACAGGTAGGGGGCGCTGGACACTTGCTGGGTTCAAATCTGGTGGGGTTTCTCTAACTTACAGATAATGGTTTTGTGCAATATTCATTTCCTTCTGTTGACTGTTTGGACACATTTACTGTTTTATTATCTTATATGACTACTTGCCTTTGTATTTTGGTAGAATTCTCAAGACTGGTTTGATGTATTTTTATTTAGTTTGCAATTGTCAGTCAAGAATGATACTCACCTGTATGCTGTCTTTGTGAAATGACAATGTGGTTTGTTGTATGTTGTAGGTCAGAAGTCGTCCAACTGGTGTGATGTGGAGGTGGATCTGTGTTACTCCAAGCCTTGCCTGAATGGGGGGAAGTGCCTCCCAAGGGAGGGAGGGTACACCTGTGTGTGCACAGAGTTGTTTACAGGTACATACATACACCTGAGTAGTTTATAGGTAGATGCATACACCTGAATCGTTTACAGGTAGATACATAAATACCAGAGTCGTTTACAGGTAGATACATACAGGGCTCCAGATAAGGGCCATATTGGTATGTACAGATAAAAAAATATGCACGATGCGGTAGGAATTCTCTTTTGAAAATGTAGCAGATATGGTCTTAGACATAGAATCATTTACAGATGAATTTGTCTACAAAAGTATTGTTTTATTGTTTATTGACCTGTTTACACAAGAGTAGCAATGTTGTGGTGCATATATGAAACGAAACACAAGATTACTGATATGCCATTAAATTCCATTCAGTGCTCTAAATGTAAAATTTTCCAGTACTCCTATATTGAAAAAATAAGGAGTACGTCCTCCTGATGTTCAAAAATTATTTGGAGCCCTGTACATAAATACCAGAGTTGTTTATAGGTAGACATGTATACCGGAGTTGTTTACCGGGAGATACGTATACTGGAGTCATTTGCAGGTAGACACATATACATGAGCAATCAGGGAGGATTGGGAAAAGTTGTTTAGGACTGAATGAGGTGCTTTAAAAAGAAAGGGATTCTTACTTTGGTCGAAAACCTGGGAAATCTGGATAATGCCACTGTATATGGTTAACTAAGAATGTTGGGACCCATGAAGATCCGAGGTAGAATAGGTCTTCAGCAACCCATGGACCCATGAAGATCCGGGCTAGAATAGGTCTTCAGCAACCCATGGACCCGTGAAGATCTGGGGTAGAATAGGTCTTCAGCAACCCATGGACCCGTGAAGATCCGGCTAGAATAGGTCTTCAGCAACCCATGGACCCGTGAAGATCCGGGCTAGAATAGGTCTTCAGCAACCCATGCTTGCCACGAAAGCCGACTATGCTTGTCGTAAGAGGCAACTAATGGGATCGGGTGGTCAGGCTCGCTGACTTGGTTGACACATGTCATCGGTTCCCAATTGCACAGATCGATGCTCATGCGGTTCATCACTGGATTGTCTGGTCCAGACTCAATTATTTACAGACTGCCATCATATAGCTGGAATATTGCTGTGGCGTAAAACTAAACTCACTCACTCACCCTAAGAATGTCATGATCATCCATACTTTATCTACCCCAGGGACCAACTGTGAAGTGAATCAGACCGCAAAGTTCGACACGTGTCCCTCTTACCTGTGTCACCCTCCATCCCGATGTGTGCCCCTCATTAAAGGGGGCTTCAGGTGTGACGGATGCCCCTCCACTGAAGACTACGACAAGTTCTGCCGCCTCACGAAGCGGAGTTTCAGCAAGGGGTCCTTCCTGTCCTTCCCGTCCTTGAAGCGGAGAAACCACTTCACCATCACCTTGGAGTAAGTGCAAATTTGGCATTCAGTAGGGTTTCTCCGTCAGATAATTTACCTTGACATGCAATAAACTGAAACTAGAAAGAGAAATTCAGCAGTCATACCTTGAACCTGATGTATTGATTCCTTTCAGAATATGTGCTTCTTTCTTGTTCTAAAGTACGACATGATGATTGGCTGGTTCCGATGAGTTGTCTGATTATGTGGCATGTCTCAGTATTACGAGTGGTTATTGATCAGCCGGTTTGACCACACAGGACTGTGCCCTGGGCCCCTGTTTCACAAAGCTCTCGTAGCGCTACGACTGTCGTAAGTCTATGCTACAGTACAGGAGGTACGATTACTACGAGAAAAGTTACGAGATCTTAGGCTTACGAGAGCTTTGTGAAACAGGGCCCTGCTTCACAAAGTGATCTTAGCATAAAGACAGTTGTAGCTCCAGTACCTTAGGGTTGTCACAGCGCTACAATCACAGGTTCCTGGATTCTTTACAGTGTGCAGTGATGGAGCAGGAATATTGCTTACCACCTCATAAAACAACAATCACTCAGCGATATTCCTTGAATTCATTGTTGTAATTCTTTAGATAATTTATGAGTCAGACTGACCCAAAAATACATAAAAGAAAAAAAAGGCAGTTGAGTTTTTTTATTTTGTTTTGTGATTATATGAATTGAGAATATTTCATCCCTGTTTAATAGAAATGCAGAATAATAGACAAACATCTTTGTTAAACTACTTCCCATTGGCTACTGTTTCCAGCCTTGTAGAACCTGAGTCTCTTTTCCTCGTAATGTGTGGTAGTGGGAGAAGCTTATGGACAGGGTTCAAATCCCCAAATAGGGACACTATGAGGAGCCCATTTGTGGTGTCAACTGGGATATTCTTGTTATATTGCTTAACTTGACTCCCTCACTCACTCAAAGTAGAAATAGCAACTATCGTCATACTAGCATAATAATTTAGAGACAGTATTGAACAGAACAAGGCTTTTGATAGCATTGACACCAAATTGTGTATTTATTCTCTTTGGGGTTTTATTTATTCTTCTGAAAAAAACAACACTTTATCTGTAATTAACAAAAGTGACTACACAATGCAGATAGCTGTAACAGCACAGAACATGTCTTCTCCACAGCAAAGGAACAGGCAATCATCTAGTTATGTGTTTGAGAATTCCATAAAGACGAGATTGTGGAAGTCTTGACATTGAAATAAATTGACAGTTAATATATTGGGACTGGCTTCCCGGGTCACAAGTTCCATTTCATTTATCAGCTCAATGTTTTTTATACATCAAAGATATTTTTGCACATTCGTTTTTGTCCTTAATTCCATGCTTCATCATGGGGCTTTGAGATGGGCCTTGCATAGCTGTACAAGGCATGGTTCAAATGACAAATGACTTGAATTTCATGACACAGGGATTGTTTATTTGATTATGGTTGTAGAATTGTTCTGCTTGTTTTCAATAAATTCTTTGAATTATTGACATGGCTGTTGATTTTCTGGTCGTTTAGAATAACAACGTCCTTGATGTAATTTGTAAGGCTTTTTATTCAGTCTGAGGCCGAAGGGAGCTCTTTAATTTAACAGAGGTTCAGATCAACTCTGTATTTGTGTAAAATAAGCAGAACAAATCACCAAAACCCAAATTGTTATCAATTGTTTGCATACAAATATGCATGCAGTATTTAAGAAATTACACAGTATTACAATATCGTGCATTATTACTCATTATTGCCTTATAATTACTGAAAGTAATGTTCCAAATTATACAATATGTAGATTATACTGTAACAAGGATATATTGTGTTGGTAATATACCAAATTGTACATTGATGTACAAGGACTCTGTTATGTTACTAAGTATTTTCTCAATTTGTGCATAAAAAATATCAAATTCTGCACTTTGTACAAACCATACTCGTTAATAATTTGCCTGTAAATCATCACTGTGGTTATTGTGACAATAAGTGGCACTCTTCCTGCCTGGTAGTTCTTAGTAGGGGCCAACAGTTGCCCGTTTTGACGCAGACGGATCCATTATGTTCAGGACTTAATAATGATATTTCCCTAAGTAGGGCAGCCATGTTACTGATGGACTAAAAGGGACTAATTTGTCATCCTGTATGGTGGAATAATTACCCATCTACATGATGTGTGGTCAGACAAGACAATGCATCGCTGTCACAGATGTCTGGGATCTTTAAATATTTAAAAGTAGTTGTAACACCAACGTTGTCATTTCCATGAATACAAGATGGAGGCTTGGGTCAGATCAGTGCCAGGATGGTGGAGGAATTGCCTACAGAAGAGTCTAGCCATCTTGAACTATCTTCGATTATCCAGTGAATTATGTCTATCATAGATAACCTGGACACATTCACAACTATGGCTTCAAGTTGACTCTTTTGATGATGTCACGCTATAATCAGCAAACCAATCAAACAATTAGTTCTTCAGGAGGAAGCAGGAAATTATGTTCTGTCTATACTTGATCAAAATGAATAACTATCTCTCGGACCCCAGAGAAGAAATAATTTGATAAGAAGAAACTAGCCCAAATCTAGATTGCTTTGGAATTATGCTTTGTTCTTGGCTCCATATTTTCTTATTTTCCTGATTAATTGTTTTAATAATATCACCTTATTTCTGGGATAAATAGGTTTTCCTGTTAACTTGGGCAATTTGCATCAGCATTTACTAATGGTGATCCCTGAGGTTGGGGTTCTGTGACAGGAAATGTAACAATGTCAAGTAAAACAGTGGGATATGTCAGGACCTGATGAGAAACAAAGAGTTGTGAGGATGCTAGTATCTCAGGGATAGATGACACGACCACCTGCATCTTGAGTCATGGAATCTCAATGAAGCTGCTCGTTAATTGTAGTCTGAGATTGACCTCTCACATGACCGAACCTCTAATTAATGAAGTGCTAATTGCCTCTGCTGTGCTTGAAGCATCAGGTGGTGTTGGTCAGATTGATGGCGGCAGAGCTTCAACACCTCATTATTGCAAGGACTCCATTACTTTAATAGTTGGGCTTCCATGATGCCTTACAGAGATGAAGCTAATTACGATCACTGTCTTTTATTGTGTCTATCATTGTTCACTTGTCAGTAAGAGTAAATCTTGTGAAAGAAAATGAGTTATTCATTTTAGATTTATAAAGTGGAATATTTTTCAATTTGATAGAAGAAGAACCAGTGACAATTTTAAAAATTGAAGTCTTTTGAAATATGCGAACAAGTGAGAATATGTTGGATATAACTCCTGTATAGCCGGTTCACCAGACAATCTTAAGTATCAGTGTGTCATGTAGATGGTGCTGTGTCTGTAGCATCAAGAAACTGCTGCTGCTACTGCTGCTGTTACTGTGGCCGGCCTAGATGTCCCGCGATTGGCTCCATTAGCTCCGACATGATGATGGAGCATCTGAGTGATCAAACGTCCATAATGCGGCTCAGAGATCACAGATAGCATGTCTCCCTCCCATTGTACAGTGTCATCATGGCAGCCAGCACTGATGCTACTTTCCTGGACACTGGCAATAGTTGCTTATAAAGTGGCTTTTCAAGTTGACAGTTTTTGTGTGTAATTCCAATGGCTTCATTGAATGCAATTTTCTAAAATACATTTTACGGAAGATATTATCGAGTTCTATTTGATTTTTAAATTACTTTTGGCATATTCAATTCAGTAATTTCTTGGTTAAATTGAATGTTCTTTTCAAAAAGTATAATAACTAATTATATTGGCATTTAATAATTGATTGAGACTCATGCAGATTGGAATTTGTTTCATAGGTACTCACTGGGGATAGTAATATATTTACTGAAATATTTTTTCCATTTGAAAATAAACAATTATTTAAAATTTGAGGTGAATTGAAACAGTGTTTGGTTGTTTATTCATAAGCTTGTCAACAGGGATCATTCTGAATTGCCCCATTATGCCATGACTGATACCGTTGTCAGATACTATTGATTATTTCCACTCCTAGAATGACACATAGCCGCCGTGTCAATCACAGGTAAGTCTATGTGTAAAAAGTTCATAGCTGCTGGGAATGAGGTCATTGACTGTGTGAGCTCTCTTTAAATACTTCATATATTTCTCCACAAAGTCTGTTTTCCCAACTTTATTCTGAATACAGTTTATTTGAACACTTGTCCGATCTTAGGCTAATAATAGTAACTTGAAGTAACTATATATGTATTATAGAGGGGTATTACTCAAGCATGTGATGCTGTAGATGAAAATGACTGTTACCTGTTTTTAAACCATTTCTCCTCCTTGAATGTATTGATGATTTTTTTAACAGAATTTTTACATGCCACGAGTCTGCTAGATAGCCATGTTTCCTATTTATTGTTGTATCTGCACTGTAGAGCCCTGACTGATCATGGGTGCAGTGTAAAGCCTGGTGACTGATCATGGGTGCAGTGTAAAGCCCTGAAAGCCCTGACTGATCATGGGTGCAGTGTAAAGTCCTGACTGATCATGGGTGCAGTGTAAAGCCTGGTGACTGATCATGGGTGCAGTGTAAAGCCTGGTGACTGATCATTGGTGCACTGTAGAGCCCTGACTGATCATGGGTGCAGTGTAAAGCCTGGTGACTGATCATGGGTGCAGTGTAAAGCCTGGTGACTGATCATGGGTGCACTGTAGAGCCCTGACTGATCATGCTGGAATATTGCTGAATGAGGTGTATGACTCACCTTGTCACGAGTTCCCAATACATGTTCTTTTAGATCAAGACACAAGAATAATTAATGAGTTTTTATGGTATTTCATTATGCCATAAAATGAAGATATTCAATAACAAATAATTTCTATTCAACACAGATTTGGAAAATATTAGTTTGTTGAGAATGTCTTGACATTGAAGTCCTATATATACTGGCAAGACAGAATTTACTGTTGAAAACAAAGGGGGGATAATTTACCCTCAGTATTAAACATACAGTCTATTTGTTAAGTATGCCAGTTTTTTGGATGCGAAGAATTTCTTTCTGTAGTGTTCGTGAGAGTCATGATTAACTCTCGAGAGACTTGACTTCTCTACATTGAAGCAAGGGAGCATTTGCCATCAGAAAAATCAATACTCAGGCTTATGGTTGTATTTGTCTGCTATGTCGTGTGCCTGGCGCGAACAAAGTGATTTGTGGCGGTGCTTCCCTCTGTCAGGCGGCTGCGTAATATGCCAGTCAATTATTTTATGTTGATACACATATATTGATTTCAATGATACAGTAAACTTACACCTATCTGATGCTTGATACGTGAACAAGTACTTTATTTAGTGGTATGCAGAACCTTCATGCTCAGAAAGATGAGTTCCCCGGTCTGTTCCCATCACTGCCAGCACACTGTTGCTGTTCTGGCCAGACAATACAAACACGGGTTATCCTGCTGATTGGGGAGTATTGCATCAAGGGTTATGTCCCTTAGGTGCACCTGGAACCTATGATCATGGTTCCAGATTTGCCCTGATTAGGATTCAAAGTTTGTAAGAATGATGTCTGTGAGCAGTAGTAATGGTAAAACCTGCTTTTTGGGTATGTGAAATAACTGAAATATTGCTGAATTTTTTAACCCAACTGACGCACTGACTAACTCATTGTTTACTTCCAGGAAGACAATGTTTCAATTTATAGGCCTTTGTGCAGTGTGTAAATACTAATTGAAGCATGTCTAGATTTTCCTCAGGTTCAAGAATGAATCTTTCCATCTCAATGGAGGCGGTGGGGTAGTCTAATGGTCAAAGCGTTCGTTTGTCATGCTGAAGACCTGGGTTCGATTCCCCACGTTGGTACAATGTGTGAAGCCCATTTCTGGTGTCCCTGCCATTATATTGCTGGAATATTGCTAAAAGTGGCATAAAACTATACTCACTCACACACGCTTCCAAGAAGACAATGTTTCAATTTATAGGCCTTTGAGCAGTGTGTAAGTACTAATTGAAGCATGTCTAGATTTTCCACAGAATTTTCAAGAATGAATTTCTCATCTCAATGGGGTTCCTTTTCAGTTTAAATGGAATAATGCGTTTCAGAAAAAATTCATATATTCAGAGACTAAGTAACAGTCTAAGTGCCTGTCTGGGTCCATTTCTATGGCATAAATTTAGCATCAACTGTCACAAATCTGATGAAGTGTTGGAATTAAGGCAGTAGTTGCTCTCTAACTACTTTGGACAAGTGGGCCCAAGAGTGTTTATTTGGTACACTATGGTAATGGGCATGTTCTTGGTCTTACTTCCATAAGCAGGATATAATGTAACTGTCCCCATGGTGCAGAAAGATGAATATTTCTGGTGTCCCTGTTGTAAATATAACCTGGTTATATGTGGTCAATCAGGAATTGGACAAAAAGAGCAAGAACTTATTTTATGAATCGATTAGCAAGTATTTTCATTTTTTTTGTCTTATAACTCTGCTGGAACATGATCTAAAAGGAATAGAAGTTGGAGAAAGGTTTTGGGAAAAACAAAATATGTACACGAGCCAGCGTTTGAATACCTTCAGCTCTGTATTGATGGTGGCTTATACTACTAATTCATATTACTATAGTTAAACTGTTGTTCAAAATGTGTTTCTTTCTTTGTTTAATGCCGCACCTCAGCAGTATTCCAGCTATATGGTGGCGGTCTGTAAAAAATCAAATCTGGAGCAGACAATTCAGTGATCAACATCATGAGCATCGATCCACACAATTTGGATATACAATGACATGTGTCAACCAAGTCAGCGAGCCTGACCACCCGATCTTGTTATTTGCCTCTTACTACAGTCATGGGTTGCTGGAGACCAATTCTAACCCGGATCTTCGTGGGTTGTGCAAAATGTTTCTGTATAAGTATTCAGCATAAGAAGTGCTGAAATAGGCACAGTGTATAGATAAGTTTAAGCATGTATTTGTAGGTCACTTCCTTTATTCCATTCTGACTTAACATTTCTTCCATTATTTCTTGATAATTCAGTTGAGCTGCAGAGCTCGTTTGAAAATGAGTTACGATGTTATTTTATTTTTCAAAAAACCTCCTTCAGTCCTTAAAAAATGCAACTCAGATGGTCCTGCCTTCTATCCTTCTTCATTAGAGCGTTACATTGTATCCAAGTACCGTGCCACCATTGTCCTCGAACTACAGCACTGTGAGAAGGACCTAGACAATGACTATCTTTGTGATTAACAATGTAACACATGTGTAAGCATTTCATATCACACTGCAGTTATGTCCATTGTATAATCGCATTATGTTCACTTGAGCTGGGATGAAAGAACAAATGTTATCAGCCAATCTGACCTACTTTAACTTAATCCATCTAAACTTGACTTCAAATGCATGGGCATGTGTCTACCGCTGAAATCAAAGTTACATTCCTACGGTGGATTTTCGCTTTGGGATACCAGAAGCTTTCAGGATAACATGCCAGTGGTCTTATTAAAATTCATCTGTTGGAAGATTGTGTCATAGGGTAAATATTGCACACCTGGCTTGAGTGTAAGCTGTTCTCACCTGCCTAACGAGGTCTTATGCAGTTCAAATTGGGGCTTTTGGGGATTTGATTGGTCCCAAGTAACTTACACTTGTAAGTGTTGACTAAACTCCATAGGGACCAGGTTCAGTGAAGTGGTTTACTTATGTCATGTTTATGTGTGGTATACTCATAATATCACCCTCTGATTTGTCTGGCCGTTGTGATATGACTGATATTGCCTGATTTGGTTGTGATATGACTGATATTGCCTGATTTGGTTGTGATATGACTGATATTGCCTGATTTGGTTGTGATATGACTGATATTGCCTGATTTGGTTGTGATATAGCTGTAATATTGCTGATACCAGTGTTAAACATGTGAAATAACAAGAAGATTCAACATTCTTATGTCAACAAATTTGTTTTTTGAGTTGTTTTATAAAATATATTTTGTATCCAAACACTGTTCAAGACTGGCAATTTTGGAAACAATCATGCTTCTCATAACTGGATCTTTTTACTGTTCTTATTGTTGTGAATGTTGTGATTCCTTGTTCAAATTGGAAATTTATGTGACATTTGCTGCAGACTTGATATTTACCTCTGAGCAGGAGAAGATAAATCCCTTCTATATCTAGGATGTTCCTGATTGCCCAGGTTCTTTTCATACATATTCTTTTGCTTCATCAGTGAATACTCAGTCTGATGGTGTTGTCAGTAAATTATCTCAATTTTTGTGACAAGATGGTTTGAATGACAACAATTTCTAATTCAATTTTGTCATTTATGGGGTTCCAAAGAGATCGTGTCTTCAATCACAGCTGCCAGTTCAACAGGCATCCGATTCGCGTTATTTGACAACTCACAGACTCTCTGTTGATTCACATTGTTCACAAATGCACTCAATGTGGCCTTAAATTAGTGCTTCTTATTAATTGATTTTCACATGCATGGCCAGAGTGTCATAGAACAGCAATCAATAGTGGAAGCAGACCACACTGTGAGTCATTAATGTGTGTCGGGAGAGTGCTCGGCCATTGCCTTAGCCCACAATCGGCATGACCATATAACCCGAGTCAAACACTGAATGTGCTGTGGAGCTGTAGTGGCCTGAGTGAAGAGTTAATGTTGCCAGTAGAAGTACTTGTAAAGACTCAGAATTGAATTATTGGTCCACGGTTTTATTGATATTACTTGTGAGGGAGTCCCCCCTCCTTTTGATAATTAAAAGTCAATATTTGTTTCATGTTATTTGTGAAAATACAACTGTAGACATAAGTCAAACAGCTCATGTATTAATACTTCCCAGTAGTCCCAGTACTGATTGTAGTTTATGAGATAATGTGAAACAATGATTCATAATAAGTCATAATAAATTCAATCTTCAGTGTTTCAGCACTTTAAAGGTGATTCATTTAATTCATAAGCTGAAATATTATATTCAGTCAAGATTATTTACAATGAAATTATCATGTTTCATGTCAAATTGAATTGGTTGAAATGGGCAGTATTGAGGTTTCATTCAATCAGTTTGAGCTATGACTTCTGTAGCAAGATGCAAGAGCAGGCATCGAGATAAAATGTCAGCTGTCTGATCGTAACCACCTCATTATTTTCTTGCAGATTCGCCACGCAGGAGAAAAATGGCTTGCTCTTCTACAATGGCCGATTTAATGAACTCCACGATTTTATAGCCCTGGAAATTATTGATGGGCAGATTCAGTTCTCGTTCTCCCTCGGTGCTGACATCACAACTGTCAATCCTTACGTTAGGGGCGGAGTCAACACTGGAGAATGGATGAAGGTCAAGGTCAATTTCCTAAATCGAGTAAGTAATTTTTCTGTCCATTCTGTCACGTGAACTTTAATATTAAGGGTTTGTTTTCTTTAGGAATGTACAAGGTTGACATAAGAATAATCATTTGTTTACTGACTTGAATTTTTTGTCCTTGTTGCCTTGTTGAAATCTAAATATCATAAAAGGTATTTAGATGGAAATAAAAATAATACTTTTATATCTCTTATCAGACTATTGTTTATGTGAATGTGGTTAAAAAGTTCATTGATATTGAATGAGTGTTCAGCATTATTCACAAACTAGTCCGAGTGAGTCGGAAACTGGTTTACCCAGAGATTATAACCTTGGCTTGGCATGTGAAAGATGCCAAGTCATTTTCTACCTTGCAAGCAGTGTCTACCTGCATATATGTGTAGTCTCTGACTAATAATGTGAGCGGTGGGGTAGCCTAGTGATTACAGCGTTGGCTCATCACGCCGACAACCTGGGTTCGATTCCCCACATGGGTACTATGTGTGAAGCCCATTTCTGGTGTCCCTGCCCGTGATATTGCTGGAATATTGCGTAAAAGTAGAGTTAAACCATACTAACTCACTCACTCTGACTAATGATACTTATTCCTCCTCCAGGAAGCAACCGTGACAGTTGGAGCAGACTGTGATACACTTGTCTCCGTTCTCTACCATGACCAGCTGGGGAACTACTCATGTGCAGATCGCAATGCAACAGTACTTGATAAGATGTAAGTGTCAGTCTTTTAAGATGTTAACTTCACATTAGATTTGCATCCTGCTTCAATCTCAAGAACTCACATTGTCATCTATTTTCTCTTCCTTCAGGTGAAGTTAATTTTCTGTTTTAGAATGCTGCATCTATCATATAACCTTTTTCCATTATGGAAACACTCTTTGAACTCTAGTTATTAACTGGACATAGAATAACTTCTTTGAGTGGCATTTTAGAAGCTGAAAAGTACAATATAGACAAACTTTATGGATAACAATGTCTTTATTTTGTGAGTGCGATGTTTTGATACAGATTCTTGTACCCTTGTCAGGCAGGTCTATGTTGTACATGGAGTAACATATGTACTCACTTATTACCAGTGTTATTATACTGCAATAACATCCTTTATTTCCTAGATGTGAGAATCCCACAAAGATTTGTCATCGCCTTCTGGATCTGACCGGCCCCCCTCCAGGTCGGGGGGCTGCCGTCGCTTCCTACCACCTTCCAAGTCGTCAACAAGGACTTCGTCGGCTGCATTAAGGACTTCTACATCGACCACGATATTCTGAACCTCAACTCGTCAGTCTCCTACGTAGGGAAGGGCAGCGAGGCAGGGTGTTCTGCCAAGAAACCCATTTGTTCTGAGAAGCCATGCCAATATGGAGGTCAGTTTCAGTTATCTCCCCCTATTTTGTTTATTAAATATAATGTGACACATATTTTGTTTATACGAGCAGTATGGGTAATGATGTTGCAAATATGATTGTCTCACTTTTTTACCCTTGTATTTGGGTAGCCTAGTAGTTACAGTGTTTGTGTGAGATTCCCCACATGGATACAATGTGTCAAACCCTTGTGTCCCCATCTATCATATTGAAGGAGCATTACCAAATGTTGCTAGAAACCTTATTTTTGTTTGGACAAGTCTCAGAAATATCCTATAAGGCGTGGATGAAGGATGTGGAATATTGAGTGCCTGTGCAAAGAAAGATGTAGCTCATCAGCTCCTTGGTTGTCGGTTTGTAAAACTTTTTGTCATATGTGACAAATGACAAAAGCTATGTTTTAGTTCTGTTGTAAACCTTAACACGTGGATTATGGAATGACTGAAACAAGAATTATATTCATCGCAGGTAAATGCAAGGAAGGATGGACGACTTTCACCTGTGAATGTAGAGACAAGGCCGGTGGCAAGGACTGCAGCCAAGGTAACCACAACCACCTTCCACAACAACCACATCCACAGCTGTGAAAACAACTACCAACCACATCTACAACCACATACCTACCACCTCGACATCTACAACCACATACCTACCACCTCGACATCTACAACCACATACCTACCACCTCGACATCTACAACCACATACCTACCACCTCGACATCTACAACCACATACCTACCACCTCGACATCTACAACCACATACCTACCACCTCGACATCTACAACCACATACCTACCACCTCGACATCTACAACCACATACCTACCACCTCGACATCTACAACCACATCTACAACCACATACCTACCACCTCGACATCTACAACCACATACCTACCACCTCGACATCTACAACCACATCTACAACCACATACCTACCACCTCGACATCTACAACCACATACCTACCACCTCGACATCTACAACCACATACCTACCACTCCTCCGACATCTACAACCACCTACCACCACATACCTACCACACATCTACAACCACATACCTACCACCTCTACCACCACATATAACTGCAGGCCACATCTACAACCACCATACCTACCACCTCGACATCTACAACCACATACCTACATCCAACAACCACCTACCACCTCGACATCTACAACCACATCTACAGCCACAACCACATCTACCAGCCACAACCACCACAACTACTACAACCACAACCTTGGCCTTCACTTCACCTTTCTGGCTTCCAAATTAATTGAAACACTTACCTACAGCCACAACCACCCACCTTGGCCTTCACTTCATGGATTTTCGATGGATTTCAATAAAGTTGTAAATGTTCCTTCTTTGGCATTAACCCAACTCACTCACTCTGTAAATTCATACAGCTGTCCTCTCCAATGAGTTTATTTTCCAGTCCCTTCATTTTTTGTAACCTTTCTTCCTGCAGTGATTGAGTCCCCGAGGAAGTTAAAGGGCAATGGCTACCTGTCCTACTCCAACTTTGGCCAGAACAATAACAAAGTCAGTTTCCCGTGGTACAACGGTCTGGCCTTCCGCACCCGAGCTGAGAGTGGCGCCCTCATGCAGATAAATCTCAGTGTTGGTCAAGTCACAATCATGGTAGGATATAGATGGCTTTGATCTTTGAAGGAGTTTGAGGGATTTTTTAGTCTTTGTTCTGTGCTTTGTAATGGCTAGTTCCTGTATTTGTTCCGTGCATATTACCATTCAGGGTTCGCCATATTTGAACTTCCTTCTGATCCTTTTGAAGCACAATATTTTTTAGCTCAATATAAACTTACTTCATATTGTTTTGTTGGATCTTGAACAAAGAAAAAAACCCTTGCTTTTTCACCCTCCAGATTGAGAATGGTTTCATCACATATAACTTCAAGTCAACCAAAATCGTGTTTGATTTCCGCAAAGTGAATGATGGAAAGTGGCACTACTTTGAGTCACGTTGGTTCCAAGGTCGTCAAGAACTCACCCTCGACTACGGACAGCTCAGTGTAAGTGAAGTCAAGGTGACCATTTTAACTTTTGCCAGATCCAAGCCTTTAGCATTCAGATTGCAATCCAAGCTCCCAAGGAAATATGATATTTAGGTTCCAGTGAACCTCCCACTAAGCATGAAGATGGACTGAAGTTTTCTGTGGTGTATAATTGAAAGGGATTGTGATGTCACGATGATACCAGGGAGAATAGATCCACCGATGACTGATCAGGTCTTATTCACTAACAGGGCGTGGGGTAGCCTAGTGATTACAGCGTTCGCTCGTCACGCAGAAGACCTGGGGTCAAATCCCCACATGGGTACAATGTGTGAAGCCCATTTCTGGTGTCCCTCGGCGTGGTATTGCTGGGATATTGCTAAAAGCGGCGTAAAACTAAACTCATTCACTCACTTATTCACTAACCTGATAGCCAGATGGCGTGGATTGTTGTTCTAAATATCAATCACAGGATTGTCTGGTTTAGACTTCACTATTTTCATGCAGAAATCTTATAACTCAAAATTCCTGAGTTGATAAATACAAATATACAAACTTGACTTCATTTTCAAATTACTTAGTTTGGGATAATTGCAATAGATTTCTTCATTCATACATTTCTGACATATTCATTAGATTTTTACAGAAAAAAACCCACAAGCACTATTATTTCTAGGTAGCATATTGTAAAAGAATCACAATAAATTTGGATGCATCAGTATTTTAGTCAAGTTGCATGTTAATTGTATCGACAGATGGAGGTGGAGCGAGCAAGTACCATAAAGAGCAGTGTGGTCAGCATGGTGTATGTGGGGGCTACACGGGAAGGCAATGAAGCTATCAAGAATGGCTTTCATGGATGTGTCAAGGTAAGGAATTTACCTGTGTCAGTCAGAGAACAGGTACCCAGTACTCACTGGTGACTAGACACTGAGGATACTGTGTAAGCACCCATAGTTCTTGGTCAGGCTGTGAGACTTGCTTGATTTCATGTCATTGTATCCTAATCACTAGATTCACTGGTTCAGACTTGACCACATGAAAACATGTATATTTATCTTACCTCACACATAAATGTCGCTTTCTGATTGTCTGAACGCTCTTATATTATTTTCAATGTACCCCGCTTACAGCGCGTAACATTTCAGTGTACCCCGCTGTCAATGGCAACTCATTTGGTACTTTGTGGTAGTAATTCTTTATCTCGAATTACATTGAATAACGTATGTGATCTACAGAAATTACCGATGTTTTGTGAATGCAAATCGATGGAAGGGAGATAACTCTAAATCTGTTTTTCTTGTCAGCAAAATCTAGTGATGGCTACAAAAAGATTTGTACCCGTGCTTCAAACATTCAAAATTGCATTCAAAATTAACATAAGGTGTTCGGTAAGATAAATACCTTCGGGCTCAGGGATTATAAACAAACATCGAGGGTACATCAACCCAAGCCCCCCTTGTGACCAGTGAACAACTTATAATGTATAAAAGATACCATTTGATGTCTTTCACTTCAAGTGACACTGGCGGCAGTGGGGTAGCCTAGTGGTCAAAGCGTTTGCTCGTCACGCTGAAGACCTGGGTTTTATTCCCCACATGGGTACAATGTGTGAAGCCCTTTTCTGGTGTCCCCCGCTGTGATATTGCTGGAATATTCCTAAAAGCGGAGTAAAACTTAACTCACTCACTCACTCAAGTGACACTGACCCAGCACAGAAGTATGGACAGGAGTGAAAACGGCTGATGTTGATATCCGAATGAATTTCAAAAACACTGCTTAAAGTCTTTCATATCGGAATATTTTGACATAATGTAGCTGTAGTTTTACATTTAGTGTCCGCCAAAAGAAGCAAGTGTTGACATGAGCAATGTGTAATTTTCCTTCCTCCACTGTCCCCATCTGTAACTTGTGGTCTCTGTTTCCAGGATATACGTATGGGTAACAATGCCAACACTGTGTTGAACAATCCCACCGAGAACAACGTGGAAGCGGGGTGCAGCAGCGTGGACAAGTGTCGTGGAAACCCCCTGTGGTATCGGCACCTGCATCGACGAATGGGAGGATATTTCGTGTGATTGTCCACCAGGTGAGTTGGTCGTTAATCATATCTGAATGTGTTTATGCAGTTACCTGTGTTGCAGATTGTTTTAAACATCAGTAAATATATCAACATCATTTGTGGTACATTCTGCTTAGCAGATGTTAATTTCGCTTTGAACAATTTCAATTCACAAATAATACGGTCCGCGTTTTGTTTTCATCCTATACCAGGGACCAGTGAATGTTTTGTCTTCCAGCGGCAGTCTTGACGGGGGCCCATTTAATTTATGTGTATGATCAGGGCATTATGATATATATACATGATCAGGGCATTATTATCTTGTGTTCATGATCAACATAGTTAGTCTGTATATTCATGATCAGGGCCTATTGCACAAAGCCAGCATAGTGCTGAGGTGATCGTAGCTCCATACTTTGACATAGGACACAGTAGTTATTAGTGTTGGGAATTGGTTGAAATCTCATAATTGATGATTGCTTCATTACCAACGAACAATCAGCGATAAAAAATTGGTTAGCGTCAATTTTCAGATTTTCCTATTCAGGTTGTTATTGCAGATATGTATAACATGATGCACCCTGCTACTTTAAAGTGATGGTGATATATCATGAACATAAACCTTCTGGGGTCTTCAAGAAATATTCAGTCATGACATTTCAGTTTGTGAAGTGAGTTTTCTAAGAATTAAGAAAGTTTTCAGACCCTAACAACATGGATGTTATGTTCCATCGTCAAGTGTTTCAAAGACTAAAACAGCAGTTCCAAAATCGTTTGTGTTCGATTATGAGAAAATGTGATCGATTGCTTGGTCGTTTCGACCAATCTAGAACACCACTAGTAGATCTACCACTGAGATCACTTTGCAGGACAGGAGTCTCTTTGTAAGCGGTTGTCTTTTCTACTGTCTTGGTGATGGGGTGATTGGAACTCCCATACTGAAAGGTAGACCAGTGACTGTTGTGCTTGGATGTCTTTTGGGAACGGAGTCCTGGACACCATTGACTTTCTGTTCATGATCAGATCATGATGATCATGGTAACAATTCTGAAAACATCTCCATATTGTATTGTTCCAGGTTTCATCGGCCCCGACTGTAAGGACATCTGTTCCAGTGCCAACCCCTGCCAGAACTACTCCACATGTCTACGTCCCAACACCCGGCGGAACCACTACTCATGTGAGTGTGGGGCCCGGCAGAGTGGGGACTACTGCGAAGTGACTGCCCCCATGGAGTGTCCTGCATCGTGGTACGGCTACCCCGTCTGTGGACCCTGCAACTGCCGCGTGGACCGCGGGTTCGCCTCTGCCTGTAACAAGACTTCCGGGGAATGCATTTGCAAGGTAGGATAGATACAGACGGCAAGGTAGGATAGATACAGACAGCAAGGAACACTGACTAATGTGATGCTACTTTCTTGACGACAGGCGAGGACAGGAAAACATGAATAGCTTTGTGGATATCACAGGGCTCCTAATGTTTCATGGTCAGGAGTATGTACTCCTTATTTTTTCAATATAGGAGTACTGGAAAACAATAGGAGTACATTTAGAGTACTGAATGGAATTTAATGGAGTATCAGTAATCTTGTGTTTCGTTTCATATATGCACCGCAACATTGCTACTCTTGTGTAAACAGGTCAATAAACAATAAAACAATACTGTTTCATATAAATACGTCTGTAAATGATTCTAAGACCGTACACCATTGCTGTGGTGCGTATCTGCTACATTTTCTAAATTATTTCCTACTGTATCGTGCTTATTGTTATCGGACGCCGAAGACCCGGGTTCGATTCCCCACATGGGCACAATGTGTTAAGCCCATTTCTGGTGTCCCCTGCCGTGATATTGCTGGAATATTGCTAAAAGCGGCGTAAAACTAAACTCAGTCAGTCAGTCAGTATTGTTATCGGTACATACGCCGATACGGCACTTATCTGGAGCCCTGTATCATCAATTTGCATGTTACAAAGCAATGGTTAGGATGTTGGAAGCTTAATAGTTCTCACCCATATTCACTTTCCACATGGTCTGGTTCGCCACCCTTAGTATGTGTCTATTTTTGCTGATTTTGCTAAAGTACTCCTACTAGGGCTGCAGCGATTCGGTTCGATTCAATGATAATTGAATCTGACACTTTTAAAAAAAAATTGATAACAATTATCACTATTTCGATTCGATATTTGAATACTTATTTAAATTATTTCCACACAGCCAGAACATAATTTTTACTCCAACTTGAGCAGTTTCGAGTGCTGAAATAAGGCGAAACGTGATTGGTTGACCCCAGGCTAATTATCCAATGAGAATTGTTGTTAGTAGACATCGTCAAGTTAACGATGGATTTCACACTTTAAAAAGCTAACTCTGACAGATCAATGAAATCTGATGTTTGTACTTGTATGTAGAATCGAATCGAAAATGATTGAATCGAGGGTCCAATATCAAAAATCGAATCGAATCAAGGTCTTGGTGAATTGTTGCAGCCCTAACTCCTACCAGCAGTGTTTAAGTCATATATCTACAACCATGATAAGCAAATTTCACATGCAGCACTTGTATATAAACACAGTCTTTTATTTACTCTGTATAGTGTTTTCTATTTTGTCATCTCTCATTTCATGACTGAAATAAATAATTGATTAATAAACTAAGAAATTAAATAATCAGTAAATAACATCAAATTGTAAACTGAAGAATAAGGACTTCAATTGAATGCTGTCATTTTGCCCTATAGCCCAACCACTACCGGGCCAGCTGGAAGTGAGGTGTGCTACCCATGTGACTGCTACCCTATTGGATCAACGGGGGCAACGTGTCACCCTGTCACTGGTCAGTGTACATGCAAGGATATCATCGTAGGGCGGAGGTGCGACCAGTGTCCGAGTATATTCGCTGAGATCCGTCAGGAAGAGGGTTGCCACGGTAAGAGGGAAAGATTGTTATGCCTTGTAGAATATACAGTAAAGTACAGTATTAAGCTTTCTAGAATATGTACACTGTCATGTTCCCATTTTGACTTAAAAGGTTCTCCCTGTTTTCACTGCTAATTGTCGTAACTATGAATACAGATTGTAACCGTAGATAGAAAGATTGAATAAATGGTTTTGTTATTTGTCCAAAGGTAAATAATTTGTATTTACTTTTACAGTTGTGTATGACTATTGTCCAAGGAACCATGCGTCTGGAATATGGTGGGAACCAGAATCTCTTGGCAAAACTGCGGTTACAGACTGCCCAGGAACAGCCATGGGTAGGTACATCCTCGGTGTTCAGACCACTGGTCAATTTGGGGCTAACTCTGGGGTTCATCTTCAGACCAGAATGGGGACTGGAAGGTGCCCTGTGTTGGTCAGAAAAGGGATAAGGTTTACCTGAATGAGACAGGATTCAAATCTTAAGATCTACTCACTTGCGACTTTGTAACTTGGACACCAATCATTGCTCATTACCTTTTACAGGTGATGCACTTCGGAAGTGTACAGAAACAGACAGCTGGCTTGAACCTGATCTCTTCAACTGTACGAGTGCCAACTTCACCAAGCTAAAAGCATCGGTGAGTATGAAGACAGCATAGAGAGATAGAAAAGTCCACAGTTTTGTGGTACTATTGTTTGTCCTTAAGATTCACCATTTATGAATGCCATTTTGAGTGTTTATGTAAGTGTTAAACACATGTATAGTGCATTTGGCTCAAAAGCGGAATTGCAATCTAACTGGCTGTCCCTTTCTCTGCACTCCTCCCTCGTAACAAATAGTGAACTGTGTCAATATTTTAATGATAGTTTGTTAAACAACTTTTTTATTTTTAGGACATAAATTCTGCAAAAACCTCACAGAGTTGGTCTGACGTTTTGATTATGATCAGTGTTTCATTGAGTATTTTATGTTTATTAGTTTTCGAGTTAGATTGCAATTCATCGGTCCGCTTTTGAGCCAAACAGACTATAGTCATCATTAGAATCTGAGACTTGCAGGATTATGTGGGTCATGTTATGAACTTGTATTTATTATCCAGAGCAATTGCATTTATGTACATTTCAAATGAGGCTACACACAACTTGAGTAGTGTTAACCGATTATCTTTCTTCAAATATTCATTTGAAACATAAACTATTTCACTTTTGATATTCTGTTCTTTTTATACTGTAATAAAAAAAATCTTTTGATTCAGGTTGCTCAACTAAATGAAGGATCCATTAACACATTCGTAGCAAAGACCTCAATCGACAGTCTCCGCAACGCCACGAACACGACGAGCCCGATGTATGGTGGTGACATCGCCACGGCTTATCAGACGATCTACAAGATTCTCAAGTACGAGGTCAAACAGAAGGGACTCAGTCTCACAAATGAACAGCATGGCACCTACATCCAGGTACACAGATCCTCTTCTACATAATGTATTGCTAATTCTGTGATGAAATACTGCATAAGCTGACAATATAGAACCAGTATTGCCCTTGACAACAGTTGTCTTGGTTGTGTAGAGTGGAGCTAGAGCTGAAGATAAGTGTTAAATCCAAAAGGTTTTTGAAGATGGTACTTACTGTGTGGACACAAGTTGAGTCTGCGGCTATATATTAAAAATGAAACTGGGAACCTCTAAAGATCCGGGTTAGAATTGGTCTTCAGCAACCTATGCTTGTCTCATGAGGCAAGTAACAGGATCAGATGGTCAGGTTCACTGACTTGGTTGACACATATCATTGTATCCCAATTGTACTGATCAATGTTCATGCTGCTGATCACTCAATTGTCTGGTCCTGACTTGATTATTTACAGACTGTCACCATATAGCTGGAATTGTGTCAAGACTGAGACTGGGTGTTTTAATGTTGCAGGAAATGCTTGTTGCCGTCAGCAACGTGACGGAGCCAGAGACCAAAGTCTACTGGGACACCATCAATACGAAATATGACGGAGCAGCCAAACTGCTGAACCTGTTTGAGGAGTACCTGGTGACACTCGCCACCAACTTCGCCTCCACCAAGACCCCAGCATTTGATGCAATATCCGACAATATGGGTGAGTACAGGAAACTTCCACTGTGAACTGACCCGTGAAGATCCGGGGTAGAATAGGTCTTCAGCAACCCATTTTTGTCATAAAAGGCGACTATGCTTGTCGTAAAAGGCGACTAATGGGATCGGGTGGTCAGGCTCGCTGACTTGGTTGACACATGTCACCAGTTCCCAATTGCGTAGATCGATGCTCATGCTGTTGATCACTGGATTGTCTGGTCCAGACTCAAATAGTTACAGACCGCTGCCATATACAGTCAGGTCAGCGGTAATCCGTCCTCGTTAATCGAATCCCCGACTTCCGAAGCTACTCACGGGCACCAAATCATCTCCCTATATATTGTATATAATTGACACCTCGTTAGTCCGATGATTCAGCTCCGGCCTCAACGCTGGTCAGTCGGAACGGATTGACTAATTAAGTTGTTAACAGCTCGCGTTAATCCAGGCGATTGAAGTTGACCGCTGAGCTGACTGGCCCACCCAAAGTGACACGTTGTTTGTTTAGCTTAACTTGAAAGCGACTCATCCCTTTGATCCCTTTATCATAAGTGATAGGAAATTTCTAACGAACACGCTGTTTGGGAAAGACTTCAATCGAGAAATGTATGCTCGGTAACCGAATTAAAATTATAAACTATTTTTCTCAATGTTATTGAAAGCGATTCGGACACATACTTCGCAGCTGGTCCACAATAGCATTGTCAAAGAGCAAAGTAACGATGTAAATTGAATAAACTAATGAATAAAATCCATAATTTTACGTATAGGTAGCGATTTCTTGCTTAATATGTTCAAAATAGCATTATTTTACCCAAAACTTTCGTCTAAATCTAAAAGTTTTCGTTTACTTAGGTCACATGTCTGATTTTGACCAATCAACGACCCTTATAGCAGACTGTAGCTTAAAAAGCGCCATTAGAAACCAATGTTTATCCAATAAAATCGCTTCTTACAACTGTGAAAATACTCGGCAAGGGTTCAGTGATGTTGTTGATGTTCAGAGCTTTCGAGCGATCTGACCGCTGCCATATAGCTGGAATATTGCTGAGTGCGGCGTAAAACTAAACTCACTCACTCCACTGTGAACTACAGCTTGACCAAATTTCTGCAGGTAGTTCTTTCAAAATTCAACTCAATGACATGTTAATTCCCCATAATGTATACCTAATAGATTGTGGTTTTTAGACACTACAGAAAATACCTATTTGCTTTGAGGAGGTGTTTAGTCAGGATCCTGTGTTACAGTGTTGGGTGTTGACTGGATTGCCAAGGACAACATAACAAAAAAGTCTGTCCCCAAGTATGACCACATACAGAAGAAAGGAACATTTGATGATGATTCCAACATCAAGCTGCCCATGTCCATCTTCAAACCTGTTACTGCAAGTAAGTACCTGCCTTCACTGTTTCCATGTAAACATGGGGTGGTGGGGTAGCCCAGTGGTTAAAGCGTTGGCTCGTCACGCCGAAGACCCGGGTTCGAATCCCCACATGGGTACAATGTGTGAAGCCCATTTCTGGTGTCCCCCGGCGTGATGTTGCTGGAATATTGCTAAAAGCGACGTAAAACCAAACTCAGTCAATCAGTCAGTCCATGTAAACATTAAGTTATTCTACTTTATTTATTCAGTTGTTACTTATAATGCATTAAGTTACTAAGTGTTTTGCATTCAGTTACTCTACATTATGCATTCAGTTTCTCTACATTATGCATTCAGTTACTCTACATTATGCATTCAGTTATTCCATGTGATGCCATATATACAGGTTTATTTAGGCATATTGCACATATCGGCAAATAACACTCCTATAACATTATCCTTTGTTGTTTTCCAGGTACCCACATAGACAACACAGTTCCCAAAGCATATGTGGGATATATCCTGTATCGCACCATTGGGGACATCCTGCCTAAACGGTTCTCATCGTCAGTCAGGTGTGTTATTTTTATCTCCCTTCTGTTGTTTCTTTACATCTCCATCATCCTCAACCTTGACATTTCAATCAACATCTTGTCAACTATCCTAGATTTTCGAAGCTCTCTTAGCGCTAGGACAGTCGTAAGTTAATGTTAATGTATGGCACTTACGACTAACGTAGCGCTAGGAGAGCTTCGAAAATCTAGGCCCTGGACTCCTTTTTTTATTGTCCCCCACCTCAACGCGGAACAGGGACTATGTTTACAGCATTAGTACGTCCTGATTCTTGTTAAAACATTATCGTATGAACTGTTATACCCAATGTCTTCAAATTTGATGACAGCCTACACTGGGTGATTACGCAGAAACCAGTCGATTTGGATGACCTTGACCTTATCTTCAAGGTCACCATGTCACTTTGACCAATTTTCAAACTTATGTAAATGCGACATCTCTTAAAGCATTCAATTATGTCGACAGCCTACATTGGGTGATTACGCAGTCACCAGTCATTTCAGGGTGACCATAGCCTTATTTTGAAGGTCACATGACACGTTTCAAAATCTTGTTAACATGATAACTACATCACACAAAATGTAATCTTCTGTCAAAAGATAAAAACTAGTAAACATTTTATATTTCATTCTTCTTTAGCGGTGGGGGACATTGCCATGTTAGTGGCAAACACTTGTTCTATTTAGTTTTGGTACATATATAGATGCAACTTTATTTCTGGTCGTAATTGTCTGTCTACACCGACATCTGCACCAGCCTCATTGTTCAGTGTGAGAATTTGAAAGCCAGGGACGATTGATGTGTTCATTTTCTGCTGCAGTGTGATGGGCGACATCCCTGTAGTCATCAACAGTCCGGTCATGACGGTGGTGATCGTGGACGACGGCCACGTCATTAACGGCCCCATCTCCACCCCTGTCAACATCACTCTGAAGCAGCTGTACTCCTCCAACAGAACGGGGCCTCAGTGTGTCTACTGGAAGCATGATTCAGAGAGGTAGCATAAAATACACAACTTGTTTCTTGTGACCACAGCAAGGCAGATTATCTGTAGTCTTATTGGGTCTTCTTTATGTGTTATATATTATGTCTGCTGCATAGGGCTGCGCAATATAACCGGTTTACCGGTTCAGACATGAAATCGATACATATCGCGATACGCTGATCGAAACCGGTATTTCGACATGCATTCGGAAAACTTCGTAACACTCGGAAATCTTCGGATATTTCCGTTTTTCACACTGTAAGTTAAGTTTGGTTTGAAGTTGTGTTCTTAATTTTTGTTCAAATGTTTCACAATGTTTTGGATCTGAATGTTTTAAATCTCGGGTTTTTTTGAGAGTAGAGAAACAAGTTCCAACTGGTAACCACTGTGTTGATGTTAGATCGTTCTTTTCCTTGTTTCCTCATGATTACAAGTTTTTATTAAAGCTTAATCAAGCATAGTGATTTTGTTGTGTTTTAACACTATCATAAGTAGTTTTTTGTTTTAAAAAAATTCCTGCAATATATTGCAATACATATCGCAATATATGCTTTCGCATCACAATATATTGCAATATGAATATTCTCTGCAATACCCACCCCTACTGCTTCAGTAATAAACCTTAATTCTAATGTTGAATATCCAGAGTCATTATACAATGCTCCACTTTTGTTCAGAAAATTATTTATCTTTCTGCGATACACAAAACAGATTGTGTGTAAAACTTGAGTGACAGATCCTATTATCCCCATAAGAAATTGAGTTGTATTCCTTAGTAAATGAGGCATTTTGTTCTTGTCTTGTATGACATCCTACAAAGTGTTGATTTCTGAAAGTCATGATAACCTTGGTAAAGCATAAAATAGCTAAGATGGATGACTTTTAGAATTGACTCCTCAATATTTGTGTGTTCCGTCTGTAACCAGTTTGAAGCATGAGGTTCTATATTTCAGTAGTGGGTCTTGGTCCCGAGACGGATGTTGGCTCATTGACCAGTACACCAAGAATGGAGAGGACTATGTGGTGTGTTCTTGTAACCATCTGTCCACGTTCACCCTTCTTATGGATGTCGCTGGGTCGGAGGTCAGTCACTCACAATCTTCACAAAGAAGTGTATCTCGTTTAGTGATATAAATGTTGTAGTCCTGACAAATGCAGTGCTCTCTGTAAGATCCATAGAAGTCTTTCTTTGTGCATATCTTTGGTAAAGGACTGTTGCCATGGTGATATGAGTGACACTGTGCTGTTTAGTCCTACCTGCCTGAGTTTGGTTTTACGCCGCTTTTAGCAATATTCCAGCAACATCACGGCGGGTTTAGTCCTACCATGTCTGGAGACTTACTGGAGGGTTTAAATCATGGTAAGGAAAGTGTTTGCTCAACATTATGTAGGCCAGGTTTGGTTTCCCTTGTGAAGCTGGTGACTTGATATTGCTGGAATATTGCAAAAAAAACAACCAAACAGCTGCTTAAGCTGCTTAAGACCCAACACACACTCAGTCACTTACAATTTCACTCACACTTTCACTCACTCACTCTCTCTGAGCAGTGGGGTAACCTTGTCATTAAAGCATTTGCCTGTCACACTGAAGGCTCGAGTTTGATTCTCCACATGGGTATAATGTGTGAAACCCTGCTGGATTTTTGCTAACAGCAGCATACTCACTCACTCACTCACTCACTCATAGTCAGTGTCAACTGCATCATTCATGTCATCTGTTATGTTCCAGGATCGATGTTCATCAACGGTGCGAGTGGAAGTCATCACTTATATCCTTGTTGTCCTCTCCATGGCGTGTCTCGTCTTCGCCTTCGTCATCTTCATGATCTTTAAACGACTGCAATGCAACTGGAACAGCATCCACATCAACATCATCTTTGTTCTCTTCATCACTCAGATGTCTTTTATCATTGGCATCGACCGGGTCAAAGAAACGGTATGCTCTTATGATATTATTGTGTATAGGCATCATTGTGAGTTCCTACAACCTTAAGGCAGTTTTCAAATTTTAATGTTTTAAGGTGATATTTGACATGTAAATGGAAATCAATTCCATCTGTGATTGTCTGGAAGTATGTATGATCTTGTTATTACCATTGTAAAACATATGAAATACCTTTTGCTGTAGTCACCATTGAATAAGTCATTACATCTGGTTCATTGTCCATAACGTTGTATAACATGTTATATATCCTGTGGAGTATAACACAATGTTATATCTTCTATTATCAGTTGGCCTGCAAGTTGACGGGCATCAGCCTCCACTACTTCTACATCTCCGCCTTTGCCTGGCTGTTTGTTGACGTGCTCCACATCTACAGAATGCTCACCGAACTTCGCATTATCAACTACGGCTCCATGAAGTTCTACTACCTCGTAGGATATGGTGCGTTGTACTGTCAGTCATTAGCACACAATATATATATACACATAGAAAGCTGGTTAACCCTCTTGGGTGTTGCAATACTTTTTTCCATGCGTGTAGCTCATCAAGGCAGGTCGTATCAAGACAGACCCCATGTTGATTACAGGTTCAGATTGGTTTCCTGTATCCTGTGCTTGTCTTAAGATCAGTGTATGGGATAACTAGGTGTAATGTCTATGTACCCAGTGACATGGTTCTACTACCTTGTAGGATATGGTGTGTTGTCAGTCGTTGGCACACAATATATATACACATGGAATAAACTATTGCTCCACCTATGATATTTAACCCGCTTAAAGGAGTGTTGGGATACCTTTTTCCGTGTGTATAGCTTATGAAGGCAGATTTTAGCACTGAAGACTCAACAGTGATTCCAGATTCAAATTGGTGTCCCCCGAACTATGCTATGCGCCTTGAGCATGCACTAGCACATGGATATGTGCGCTATAGAAATATCTAAATAGATCAGTCCATTGGATAGAAATAGATCAGTCCATTGGATAACTTTGTTCAGTCATTTTATCCAATGGGATGGTTCATTGTTCATTCACTAATTTCTCTTCTCCAGATTTTATTATTTACATCCTGCTTTCCTATTGTTGAAATTGTACAGCATTATGTTACCATTTTATACAACAAACAAACAACAAAATCAAACAGAATCCATTTTCTAGTTGGGATCAGTGTTCAAGAAGCAGAGTCTGCTTCAGTGTCTTTTGATTTTTGGTAAAGACATGTAGCTGAAAGATGTTTTTCTTCACAATGTGTTTTGATTTTTGGTAAAGACATGTAGCTGAAAGATGTTTTTCTTCACAATGTGTTTTGATTTTTGGTAAAGACATGTAGCAGAAAGATGTTTTTCATCACAATATGTTTTGTTTGCTGGTGCTGATATTTAACACAAGGATGTTGTTCTTCAGTTATTCCAGGAATAATCGTTGGCTTGTCTGTGGGTCTCAATACAGCAGGATACGAAATTTGTGACTTGTAAGTACATCTCACAAATACACTCTCAGTTTTAAACACCATGGATAATGTCAGATACATTGGCTGATCCAAGGGGGAGTCTTCCCTCCCCTGAATATGACTATAGACCACGTTGATTCAACCTCCCTGAACACCCCCTGTCCCCTTTAAAATTACTGGATCTGCCTATGATATATATGCGCGGGAAAGGGCAAAGGGAGGTAACTCGTGGGTGAGTGTATTTATACGTCCGCTTCGGGAACTTCAAGGGATTCAAGTGTTCCACTACCATTCGAAAGGGAAAGGGAGATAAGCAAAAGATCATGAGTCAGGATAAGTATAAAATATCAATGTTACTTAAAATCATTATGAAATGTTGAGCTTCATGTAGTGGACAGTAGTAGATTTAGGTTATGAGGAACTGTTACACAGGTTGTGCTGATTTGGGCTGCAAAGATTCAGTTCGATTCATCGAAAATCAAATATGACACCTTAGTTTCGATTTTCGATAAATATTATAGCTAATTCGATTTGGTATTTGGATACCTATTTAGATTATTTCTACACAGTGAGAACGTAATTTTGACTCCAACTCAAGCAGTTTCGAGCGCTGAAATAAGGGGAAACGTAATTGATTGACGCCATGCTAATTATTGAATGAGAATTGTTGTTAGTAGACATTGCCAAGTTAACGATGGATTTACGCTTAAAATGCAGACTCTGAGAGTTACATGAAATCTGATGCTTTGACTTGTATAATGAATTGAATTGAAAATTAGCGAATCGAGGGTCCAAGTTCAAAAATCGAATCGCGTTTTGGGTGAATTGTTTCAGTCCTAATGCTGATACAGTTGTATTGGGATGTCAGGTGCTTGTGATGCTTGTAAATTGCTATAAACTTTGTTTCTTTTTGTTATAGCTGCTGGATGTCTGTGTCTGGCATGTTCATCTGGAGCTTCGCTGGTCCAATTTGTCTTGGAGTTCTGGTAGGTCGAGGGTGACTGTTGGGGATACATGTATTTCCATTGTGACTGTTGTAATACTCTGCACTAATGCAATAGTCAGTTTTGTGATAGCTTGAAAGCAACTTTATAAACTGCATAATTACAATGATCAGCAAAAGAGAAATTGATAGATTATTGCCCACAATGTCAGTCGGCCATGGTTCTCAGTGTTGCATCTCAAATCAAAGGGAAGTAACTCTAACCTTAATTCAAGACCATAAGAGTTGTTCTTACTAAGGGACTGTTCAAAATTTATGGCAAGGGGTTTCATTCAAATTGTACATGCTTCTCCATAAATCATCAACACACACACACACACCTCCTCTCTCTCTCCTCCCCCACCCCCCCTTCCAACACAACTTATTTTGTTACTTTTGAACGCTGAATTGTCTGTTCTATTGGTGTTTCAAAATAATATGATTTAGCACAATTGGTGTCTATACAATTGCTGCTCATCTTGTTGATCACTGGATTGTCTGGTCCAGACTCGATTATTTACAGACCGTCGCCATATAGCTGGAATATTGCTGAGTGCACTCACTCACTCACTCACTATACAATTGCAATACATTGATGGTTTGATGTACTTGTCCACCCTTCAGCCGTGAGGCTACTGGATGTCGAAACCGTGTGACTAATATAATAATATTGATGCATTGTGGGAATGAGTAATTCCATAGGCATCCAGAAAAGTGCTGAGGTAGAAGCAGTCCAGATACTTTGATATGTATGATTTCAATACTTTGTATGGACACCCCCTTGAATGTATCAAATGTTACCCACGTCATGTACGAAGATGCACTTACCACTGTGATGCTGCAGCTTATCATGAACAGTTTACCAAGTTTACTGTCATGTTTCTTTTTATCTCACCTTCAGATAAACATCTTCACCTTCATCCTGGCCATGAAGGCCAGCTGTAGAGAGAAGATCCGAGAACCTGAAAACCTCAACAGCCTCAGGTAACAATGCTGTAACATTAGACATTATAGGCCAAGGGTGGAAATAACCCATTGCCCGACGTCCCAGTCCAGTTTTTTTTCTGTCGGGGAATCAAATTTGTATATCACACTGTACCGGTGTCCAGTTGACTTTCCAATGGTAATTATGTTGTTTTTTAAAAAAATGAACAAGAAAATCGGCCGGTCTAGTGGAAACATTATCAGGGCAAGTGATTTTACATGTACCGGAGTACACTAGCAATTTTAAAGTTATTTCCACCCCTGCAGGGCTAGATTTAGGCATTTACAGCTTGCACTGGAGCAGCCTGAAATTGCACAATGATACCTCATATTTTTCCTTATCCTGACTCATGCTTAATTGCTTGTCTTCTTCTTCTTGCGAACTTAGTGGAACACTTGTATCTCCTTATTGAAGCTCCCTTCAATAAAAACGTGCGTAAAATCACTAATCACTACTCACCAAGAGTTGTCCCTCCTTCCGTTTACGCGGGAAACTGGCGCCACTGTTTCCCACATGCTTCACTCTCTCCTGAATACGAGCCCGACACTTGAACTTACAGGGAAATCCAAAGTGTCTTTTGGGGAGGTTGGGAGGGCTTACCTCATGAGTCAGGATAAGTATAAAATATCAATTTTATTCAAAAAATTACATATTTATACCAACTTGCTCTCAGTGCATGTTCATGTTTTGCTGTTTAAGAACACAGCTGTCAGCTGTAAAGCAGGATGATGAAGAACTGTCTTGAAGCAATAACTCTTATGACTACATGGACAGTGATGACAGACTGTTACTGTTCATGGCATGAAATGTTTTCAAGTCCGATAAAATGATCTTATCAGACCCAGAAAATTTTGTTATAATGATGTTCTATATCAGTACCAAAACTCAAGCATTGTTTATGGTTTGATTTCGAACAGCAGGTGCAACCTGTTTTTGTCTGGTGCAACAAGGTTATTGCTGAGGTTGCACCAGGTGTAAATTGACAAGAAAATATTTTGGCTAAAACTGTTTACATTGATGTGAAATGGGAAAAACTCGCCAGATTTTGCCACTGGTGTTTGTGAGAAATGTGATCAAACGGTTTTCTCTTTACAGGTGTGATCATGTTCTGTTACAGATATGATCATGTTCTGTGATCATGTTCTGTTACAGATGTGATCATGTTCTGTTACAGGTGTGATCATGTTCTGTTACAGGTGTGATCATGTTCTGTGATCATGTTCTGTTACAGATGTGATCATGTTCTGTTACAGGTGTGATCATGTTCTGTTACAGGTGTGATCATGTTCTGTTACAGGTGTGATCATGTTCTGTTACAGGTGTGATCATGTTCTGTGATCATGTTCTGTTACAGATGTGATCATGTTCTGTTGTGTGATCATGTTCTGTTACAGATGTGATCATGTTCTGTTACAGGTGTGATCATGTTCTGTTACAGATGTGATCATGTTCTGTTACAGGTGTGATCATGTTCTGTTACAGGTGTGATCATGTTCTGTTACAGATGTGATCATGTTCTGTTACAGGTGTGATCATGTTCTGTTACAGGTGTGATCATGTTCTGTTACAGATGTGATCGTGTTCTGTTACAGGTGTAATCATGCTATTATCTCATTATAGGCGTGATCATTCTATTGTCTCAGTACAGGTGTCAACATGCTTTTGTGGTCGTTACAGGTGTGATCATGCTATTGTTTTGTTACATGTGTGAACATGCTTTTGTCTTGTTATATGATCATGGTATTGTCTCATTACAGGTGTGATCATGCTTTTGTCTCACTACAGGCGTGATTATGCTATTGTCTTGTGTGATCATGTTCTGTTACAGGTGTAATCATGCTATTGTCTCGTTACAGGCGTGATTATGCTATTGTCGTGTGTGATCATGTTCTGTTACAGGCGCGATCATGCTATTGTCTCGTGACAGGCGTGATTATGCTATTGTCTTGTGTGATCATGTTCTGATACGGACATGATCATGCTTTTGTCTAGTCACAGGTGTGATTATGCTATTTTATCGTTACAGGTTTGATCATCGTGTTTTGTTACAGGTGTGATCATGCTGTTTTCTCGTTACAGGTGTGGGCTGTTGAGCACCATCATACTGCTGCTGTTGGTTGGGGTGACGTGGGTGACTGGTCTCCTCTCTGTCAACTTCAATATCCCCTACCTTAACTATGTATTCTCAGTGTTCATGTGTCTCGAAGGTGTCTTCATAGTGCTGGCATATGTACTGCTCAATGCAAAGGTGAGAGGCGCTTGTATCCTGCAGACAAGGAAAACATTTCCCTCATTTTGCCTTCGAGTTATTTGTAAAGCTGATGTTGTGAGTGATAAAAGTATTTGCGTGTAACATCAAAGACCAAAGTTTGAATCCCAACATGATTACTGTGTGTGAAGCCCTTTTGGGGACTTCCTGATACGACATCACTGGAATGTTGCTCAAAGTAGCTGACATTCATAAAGGCATTTTGTGACTGTAGATTTATCACATGGAAAAATAAATTATTTTTAATTATACTTATAACATTCTTGCAGGTTCGATTCCAAATAAAAAGAGCGTGGTTCCGCATCCAGGGCAAGAAACTAGAAATTGATGAAAACCTTGCTGGAACAAGGAGCACAATGTTATCTGTAAGTTGGGTTCGTCTTTACGGGTTGGTTAATAGTCCCAGATTTATGCATTATCAGTGTTGTACATGACCTGATGGTCTGAGGTAACACAAGTCATTGCATTGAGTTGTGTTCCTTACCTGTCAGATAAACAGGGCTAGAACACTGGTCCTTGCTTCCGGAGCACCTTACCTGGTTTTCACCTGAATGATGATCCTTCCTTACATGCCATGATATAAAAGATATTCTTTTGATATTAATGTTAAATGCAGAACACTTGTTTGACTTTAGTTTAAAATGTGCTTTGAAAGCCTAAGAATTAAAAAAATATTATTCTTGGATATTTGGCAACCAAACAGGTCCTGTCACAGTTTCTGTTTACCATTCTGGTCGCGGGCTTTAGCGTATAACCTGTTCTTACCCTGTATATTGTAGAGATCTGCATTAGCCTATCGTCATGATTCCTCTAACGATGGAGGTCTTCATCGTGTCAACATCGGCATCTCCACAACATCAACAACAAGTCGCTCCAGTAAGAGTAGCGGCACCTTCCACAAGGGCGACGACTACCTACGCAGCACAAGCAGCTCGACATCGGGACACGTGCCATCCACGGCGCTGTACCCACCCAACACTGGCATTCCACCCTACGGGTTTGATCCATCAGGATTCCATGACAAACTTCCAGATGGCACCAGTAAGTTCACCATACATTTTGAGTTGACATTTGATGTCTGGGGCAGTAGGGTAATCTAGTGGTTAAAGCGTTTGCTCATCACCTCACAGACCCAGGATTGAATCCCAAATGCGTACAATGTGTGAAACCCATTTCTGGTGTCCCCAACGAGATATCACATCAGATGTCTCCCCCTTCTATGATCTGTCTCCGTTCGGATATATTGGTATCATGATTTGATGCCTTAACTTGTTTGCTTCTTTACGTAGCAAACACAATGCTGTTACAACAACTTCTAACTAGTTATAAAGATTCTGTCAGGCTAAAATAATGGCATCGCTGACTACACCTGGTAAGGCCTTCTCATACTTTACTGGGTTTTTTCATGACTAACCAAATTTCCTGTTAATGGTTAGATGTATGAAATAAGATTATGGAGGTTCAGCAACAAGTAAATTCTCAATGTATTGGTTTTGTTCAGCCTTAAATTTGACAGTAAGAATGGAATTGGGGAACTACTTTCTGACAGACCCGTGGAGATCCGGGGTAGAATAGGTCTTCATCAACCGATGCTTGCCACAAAAGGCGACTATGCTTGTCGTAAGAAATGACTAACGGGATCGAGTGGTCAGGCTGGCTGACTTGGTTGACACATGTCATCGGTTCCCAATTGCGCAGATCTATGTTCATGCTGTTGATCACTGGATTGTCTGGTGCAGACTCGATTATTTACAGACCGCCGCCATATAGCTCACTCACTCACTTTCTGACATGTGGTGATGAAATATTCCGTTATAATCCTAATGCATTGTTTTGCAGATCCTGATACAGGGGAGACAAATCATAAACCTGGCAATGACTCTGATTCTGACAGTGAGGTTTCCATAGATAGGAACAGTCTTGATCTGGCTTCTAGTCATTCCTCAGATGAAGACGATGACTTTGACCTCGGTCCCAGGTGGGAACCCACCCCTACTAAAAGTAAAGCAGTAGGTAAGTTGAAAGGCTGTGGACAGGCTGAACTTGAAGCACCATAGTGACCATGTAGATTGACAGAAACAAGTTTGATATTGAGGAAAATCGTGTCTAGAAAAGCTTTGTATCGTTTCTCACATTTGTATATCATGTTCACCTGACTCTAAACAAAGATGAACAAGTCTGTCACTTAAGGTAAAACATGCAAAATGATTAGTTTTATGTTTCCGAAAAACAAAAATAGACACAATTATGGATAACAACTTCTTTAATGTACCATGATGGTGACTGTCTTGCTTGACAGCAGTACAAGATCTGTACTGAAAAATAAAAATGGAAGTTGTTGGCCATAATTGTGTCGATTTTGTCATCCATCAACTTCTAGGAAAATTGCGAAAAGTTTGAGAAGAAAAGAACTGTATTACATGTTCGTCTTATTAAGTAAATATACAGTTTCTTAGCAAAGATAAATGTTTAGCCATGTTTGGTGACTAAAGAAATAAAATGTAAATACAACTTATGTACAACTTTGTGATGTTGTTTTCCAGAAAAAGCTAGAGAAGAAATAGAGAAAAAGAAAAAAGAAAAGGAATTAGATAGACTGAGAAATAATAATGGTGATGGTGAGTTGTGTGGAAAATAGTTTAATGTTTTGTCTGTTTTTGTGTCATCCCTACTTACATACTGCATAGATGGAAAAAACACTAATGTCCAACAATATTTGTTTTTAGATGTCTGTGTACTTTTCAGTATAAAAGATGATGTTTAGTATATAGCTATTAACATCCTTGGTGTTTGTGAGTTGTACTTACTGTGGCGTTACACTCTGCAGGTCTTTGGCTGGGGGATGGCGAACCAGGTCAAAGGTTAGGTAACAGTCCAAGATTATCAAACGTCCAGCCGGATGTGACGTTACCGGCATCGGAACGCCAAGGTATGAGCAAGTTCTCGCAGCTCTGTTAGGGTGTTACCATGGTTACACTGTGGAACTGTGTGATGTTGACATACATTGAGGTGATGGGATGTCAGGGATGTTTTGTGTATCAGATACCCACTGTTATTTGTGTATCTTGCTGGAATTCTTTTTAAAGTGCAATAAGTGTACATAAAGAAATATTAGCATGTGCCATCTTGATGTGATGGCGTACAGGCAAGGTTTGTTAGAAGACTTCAGCAATTTACAACACCTATGTACAATGTTGTAGTAATCAGATGTTTTATATAATGCTCTATTTCTAGAAAACTGTATTCAGTAATTCTTCACCATTTCCCCATCCGATGTGCCAATTTAGTGCAATCTTACCTTTCATGCCAATCGGCTCCAGCTGTTGACTTATGACATTGTCACCTATCATATTTGCCCACTACGATAAACATCTGTCAATCATGTCATCGTGAATGTATGTATGTGTAGTCACGTCTTGTCGTTGTGGGGTTCTGCTTGGCATTCAACTGATTCCATACCAAAGAAATGCTATAATCGTCAATGCAATGCTGACGGCATAACAACAAGCTGCTGTGCACTCTGTGTCCTAGTTTGAGCAGACGGACCCACGAAGCTGCAATGTCTCTGTATTTGTGAAGACTTGGTTTCATTTTCGTTAACATTTGCATGAATTATTTTGAGCCATAAATCAGTTCCAGAAATAACAGGTTCATCTTCTAGTGTGATCATGGTATTTGTGATTAATTCCAGTGAAGTGAAATCTGATAATTGACGTTTTGAGACTCACTTCAATCTCACATGTTTTGTTGATTTGGAGCATCTGATAGAGACGACCACTAGGATCCCATTGTCAGACTCGCTGACTTGGTTGATTTCATATTTGTAGATTGATGCTCATGACAGTCACAGGATTGTCTTGTTCAGACTCGATTATTTTACTGACAGCAAGCATACTACTGGTATAATTCTGAGTGTGGCCTTACACAACAAGCAACTATGCATTCTGAATGTATGACACTCGGCAGTAATTCAGAAAATTAATACGAGTGCAGTTTGACAACTTTACCTCAAGTAATTGTGTGTATCTGATCTTTCTGGAACTGATGTTGGTTAGTTTATGAACACATGCTACAGAATCATGTCTGTCAAATACTCTCCCATCACTTTTGATCATTGAATCAAAATTTTACAAAGACCCATTTTAACGATTTTTGATTACAACATTTTAGATTTGTTTTAATTTTCATCGTAAATCAAAACGTCTTGTACATATTTTGAAACTGATTCCAGAATGAAGAATCAACAGACCTGCATTCTGTATATCTGCACCAACTGCCTTCTTTGTTTTCATAGGTCGTGTTGTAACGATTGTGCCCCCCTGTACGCACCGATAGCTTACCGAATAATATCTCCGGCACCAGCAGCCCTTCACAGGGCATGAGGGTGCAAGTACTCACTCACAATGGCAGCGTTTCCTCCGACACTGAGTAAGTGCGCCCTGGCGCCTCTCAAGGAAACTAGGACAAATTTTAAGGTAGTCGCAAGCAGAGTTATGTCCCTTAAACTGACCTGAAGATGTCGAACCATTGTGGAAAGACATGACATTTGAACTGCTCGTTTCGTTGTGATGGATAACCCCGTGACGACCATCTCCTTCATATCCAACCAGTTTCACATGCAGACATGGATGCTCTAAAACTCGCAAACAAATTAGAATACTTTGGCAAATCGAGATTTCTCGTTTCTTTTATTTCATTGAAAGAAAAATACCCCCCCCCCAAAAAAAAATCATTTTTTTTCTATTTCAGAAAATAATGTTAGTATAAATCAGAATAACTGAGATATTTTTTTTATGTTTCATTTCTTTCCTCTGTTTATTTTTGAATTGAGTTTCTTGGAACAATGTTTGTATGATTTGAAGGCTCAGTCCTCGACTTCAAGAATCACCTAGGTTGCACTGGTGGATGGTTTTCTGAAGGATATGGTATTACGTGTTCACCTGTCTCTGCACCCAGTTGGTTATGGTTTACTGTCGTCTTCCCCCACACCCTAGAAAACAATACAGTCTCTTTTTCTAAACAATGGTTCTATTAAAAACATCATGTCATAGAAAAGAATTTATCTTTCTATCTCTAAATACTCAATCCAAAAAATTAAAGCAATTGAATTTCGGCATAAATATATTTGAAACTGGATTGTTTTTGCCAGGTGTGATCAGAAGACAGGGTTGTCTCCCCTGCATGCCTACCACTACCTTCTTTGTCCTGTAGCAGCCACACGTCAGTCATGTCGGGAGGGGGGAATACTTTTAAAAGATTCCATATTAGAAATTTCCACCTGGTCAAAGAAAACCAGCAGAGAGCATCCAAGTTACAGAATGTGTGCACACTTTGAGATAGAAACACAAATACCAAACAAGATATATTAAAAGTGTACATAAGGTCAGACCAGTTGTATTTCTTGTTTTACGGATCCGCCGGTCATATTTTTTCAAGAATAAGCCCCAAAAAATCAAATTTATTTTTTCCTGCTCAAAAAATAAATCCTAATGGCTTATTGGCCAAAAATGTAAACTTACAAGAAAATGTTTTTGATTGTGTTTTGCCCCATATACACTTCATAAATTTCCAAAAGTAAAATACTTTTAATATTTAGAAGGAATACTACTTTGACTGGTGATTTTTGTTTTTATTTTTTTCCCTCCTGCCTTTAAGTTTTCTGAGGGCAAAAATCTGTAAAACAAGAGATAAAATTGGTCTGGCCTAATGATGATTAAAACCTGCACAGTTTCAATGGAGCCTGCATTCAGTTGGACACATGTCTGTTTTGGTCTGTGTGATTTTCTGTGTTTGGTTCCATTTAAAATGTGGAGGATAAGAATCATTATTTAATTAAGATGCACACTTTAAGAGAAGTGTGTCTTGTTTGCAATTGTGTGGCTATATCTGTTAAATGTGCGAACATTTTCTACAGTTTGGTTGCTCTCTTCTGCACTTTGGGAAGGCCTGAAAATACTTCTATCTGTATATGCGGTCACTTTCAACTGATGTGTGGTTTTAGCAAACCTTGTACCTAACACCAGTGAGGAGTTCCCTTTTTTTTTTTTACAGTAATTGTCACATGACCAACCAAACAGTTGGTTTGTGGTGTTTGGATGCTTTACTAAACATAACAGAAATTTGTCTTTGGTTTCATCAGTTAATATAAAACCTTTATAATCTGTTGGCATATTTGGTTGCATTAATGAAATCTCCAAAATCCATTTTAACCTGTTCAAGTTGCCATTACCTGTTCAGACTCACAATTTTTCTTTGTGCCCGTTCCCCTAACACCATTTCCTGCATGTTGTTGAAGTTCTGTGGGTGACTTTTGTTTATTTTCTGTTTTTGGTTTGTTTTTGCAGATCGAGCAATGAGACATCTGTCTGAGCACTCAACCGTCTTCACAAACTCACAGAGATAATTGTAACATTCCAATCCATGTTCCATTAGTCTTCATGTTCGTGTAGAAGCAGAAGAACTATCATAATAATCATCCATTTCACAGCCATAACTCCATTGACCATTTTTGAATGATTACATGTGCCTAAATGTTATATTATTTGTAGTCAGCTTTATGAGAACTAATAACATGGAAGCAGTTGCACTGCCATTATCATTTTGTTGAAATGGCTGCACGAAATTGCAGACAGTATTTGTCTATAAATATTCCTGATGAGCAAACAATAAACTTCTTTCTTAATTCCTTCAAGATCAGAACTACATCATTGTCGGTGAACAAAACCATATTCCATGGACAAAGTGATATATATATCATTGATAGCTCACTCTGAGACTAAACTATATTTGCAACATTAATGTCTGTAAATGTTTTTTGTAAGTATTATTCTGTACCTAATTATGCAGGTATTTGTAAATGTTTTTGTCTGTCTCGACAAGTATTATGTGTATATTCTGTACAGTCCACCATTGTAACATTGTGCATATGCCATCCTGTCATTTGTGTACATTCATGATAGTCCCCCCTGTATTATGTACTGTCGGTTCCCACATAGTGTTAGCTAGTGCTTCTAAGGGCTACCAGCAGTCTTGCCCCCCTACCTGTGTGACAGCTAGGGTGACGGTCTCTCCAGGGCGTGGTGGCTTCACAAGATTCGAAGGGATCAGATTCTAAAGATAATGTCAGTGAACATTTGGAGTAATGTGTGCCTAAATTAGTTGTCCTGTAAGTTGAATCTCATTTCAGTATTTCTTTAGTTTATTCTAAAATAATTTGTCCCAATATTTTGAAGTTAGCAGGTGTTGTATCAGAACAACAGAATGTATGAGAATAATTGAGTGAAAGCAGTAATACTAAATGCATAATTTGAACTATTTCAGTTGTCTCCAATACAATGTGCATTTCGTAATTTCTAAACCTTGGATATTCTTGGTCAAGTTTGTGTTCAAACGGTAATATCATCGCATAATATGGAAAGTTGGGTCAGAGAATAGGATAGAAATCTGTGGTGATCTCATTTCTGATTGGTACACAGTATTGACAGAAAGAAGTGCCTTGGACCAAGACCGCTGGTATTCTGCATGTAGAAAGTGACATTTGGCCTCAGTGAGAATGTTGTAGGAGGGTTATCTCCCTTGTTGTGATACTCCAGTCTTTAAGTAGAGCTATCGCCGTGTTGTGACTTATGCGCTGCGTCATGCCCCACTTGGCCTTGTTGTTTATTTATTGCTGTATATACATACTTGTCACGATGTCAACATGTTGATCTCTTTGTACAAATTTTTATCAAATTCATTTTTTTATGATGATGAAGTACTTGTGCTTCCTAACAACAACAACAACAACAATAAAAATTATAAATACCATCCAATGTTTGTGTGTATTTTGTGATGCAGCGTTAAGTACAGTGATAAGTGCATGTATTAGGAGGCTGGAAGAACAAAACAAAACTGGTGGGGGCCATACATGATATTTATGTACAACGGGGGTCGCACAACAGTACGATAGGGGTGAATAGTTGGCCGTGTGTAGACACATGAATCTGACACAAATATCACTGCGTAAAGCTGCAAAATTACTGATGCCACATTGAGCAATATTCACTCTTGATATTGAAATTATATGCTTTTATGACATTCAGTCATTCCCTTTTACTACGTTTTACACCTATCTCTTCACTGAAACAACACCCCCCTCTATAGAGAACAGGGGCGGTGGGGTAGCTTCATGGTTAAAGCGTTCGCTCTTCACGCTGAAGACTCAGGTTCGATTCCCCACATGAGTATAATGTGTGAAGCCCATTTCTGGTGCCATGATACTGCTGGAATATTGGCCTAAACCACTCACTCTATACAGAACACCAAAGACCGTCCACATAGAAACACAACCCAATTATGTATAAACATACAAGAAGTGCACTGCCATCTAAGAACATTTATGCCATGCTCCAATCTGTCATGTCACATAAGCATGAATATTCAATCAAAATCATGGCATTTATGCATTGCAAGCACTACATTAAACCAGAGACCATATGATATTCGATTATGACTTCCTATTATATGGTCTCTGATTAAACACTATGTCTTCCTTCTACATGTTTTATATTGTTTGAGGGGAGGTGGGGTAGCCTGGTGGTTAAAGCATTCGCTCACCGACAACGACCCGGGTTCGATTCCCTACATGGGTGTATAAAGTGTGAAGCCCATTTCTGGTTTCCCCTGCCATGTTATTGCTGGAATATTCCAAAAGCGGCTTAAAACTAAACTCAATCACTTAAATGGTTCGTAGGGCACTGGTTGCCCTGGTGTTTAGGGCACCCAAATTTGTTGTGTAGAGTTGCATCCCTTTAACACGTTAGGAAGCTTTATCAAGCATGTTACTTTCACACAAAAACATTAGCCACACAGCTCAGACATACATTCACAGGGGATAAAGTACACAGGTTTCAGAAGGGCACATCACAAGTTAAACTTGATGCAGCAGCATTGGTGTTGTCTAAGGTGACTCAATTGGCTGTGAGGTTTTTGTTCCAGAACCCTATAACTGTGGGTTACATTCCTTACTTACCAAGCCTGTGCTTAGGAGGGTTACACAAAGTTGTAAACGTACAAGACGTGTATCACACTGATCTTTCCTTCTACATTAAACAGTTGTGCGTAACCAGAATACTTTATAAAATGACGTCAAACCAAACTGGTTAAGATGTTATTTTTACAATATTCTTGTAAAAAACATCTTATCTGGGAATACTTTTTCAACCGACCAAGGTTCCTGAACACCCAATGTTTTCTAGGCATGACCCCCACACCATCTCTCTGGGTTTGCAGGTGAATGCCAGAAGGGTGGGGATTTTGATCTACATTATACCCAAGATGTTGAAACATGGTACTTGTGACCATGTTACCCTGTTGTCAAAGAGCAAGGACTGGTCAGGTTGGAGTCAGAGAAAGCACACACAAGAAATCCCAATTCACCTCAGCCTCATGACCCCAAGAATTGGCTGTGATTGAGGGTTCAATATATTCCATGCCATTTATGGTCCTTGGTTTGTTAGTACCAGACCATGCTAGTGGGACTCAGTTGGGATTTATATCTCATCAGATAAAATGTCAGACTGGCCTATGTCATGACCATATATGTTTTATCATCCCAAACTGGCTTCAATGGGAGATATGACTAGGGTGAGATCAACCAGTAAAGGAAATATGGGGCGTACCCCCTTTTCACAACAGTCATTAAGACACCAACATTTACATGGTCATTTGTTAAACAACTTTTCCCTTCTTCATGCCACTGTCTGAAATTATAGGACGAGTTGGTATGGACAAATGACTAACATTCATGCCATTTAAGATGATTTGTTGGTTTCGAATTTCATAGGTACGAATTTGCAGCAAACGGACTATACATGGTCTGATACAGTCAACACATTTGGTCAGTGTTCATACCATGATTAAAAGCGAAGAATAACACAAGTAAAGTTGTATATCTTGAATTTTATTATCCTAAGAAACCAAGGTTGTGTTGATCACCCCTTGATGCATTCCTCTGAACACATTTGAAACTTCTAACCACAGGTTTTCAGGATAAGTTTTATAAACATCTTTTTTTTCAACGAGATGTCAGAAGCACGCACAGCTATTCACAGATGAAAAGAAGTTAATATTCACATAAACATAATGTCCATCTCGCACAAACACAGTTCCATTCTCTGTCCATGGGAACAGACCACTGATAAAGTTCATGTCGCTTCTCCTACAGCTACAGCATTATAACCTCAGCCAGTACATGGCAGCTCGGATACGGTTGTAGTCCGGCAGTTGTTCAATAGGTCCTGGGAAAAATACACTAGCATGAGTGACCATCCACATTCAATACAAAATATCATGTCGGAAAAATTCATCTCTTACTCATAATACACATGATAAAAGCAAGTACTCAATGCTGCACTTGACATTCACGCTAAATGTTTTTTTCTGTGAATAAATAATCCAGACCCATACCACCAATGATTAATATAACAGAGGACACAAAAAATACACAGAAGTATGTCAGAAGAGTTCTACACAAATATAAGTAACTTCTCAAAGCTGCCCTCAGCTACATCATGGAGTTCTGTGAATCTGGACCAGACAAACCACTGATTGATATGGCAGGTCATGAAAACATACAGAACTACCATACATTGTCTAATTCAGCTGATATTTTTCAGTTATTTTATTGGACTTGCTAAACGTACCAACAGCAGCGACGGCAGGACACTTGTCATAGATGTACTTCATGCACACATCACGCACCACTTTGGCATTGACGGCCTGGAAGCAAGACAAATACAAATGTTAATAAAGTGTCATCCATATACCGTTGAGTCACTTGACTTTCAGTTTGATAAACTCTGAAAGAGTGAATCGGGTGACTGTTGTTTTATGCTGTAGTCCACAATACTCCAGCTATGTCACTGAAGACTTAAAACAGGGTCAGACAAACCAGTGATTGAAAGTTTGAGCACCAAGATAGTTTGACTGATATCCGATGCGACATTGGTATAAAGGTATGTATGCACCACTCACCTCTATCCTGGCTTCCAACTCTGGAAGTGGTATCCTCCTGTCATAGCACAGCATTTGTCTGAAACAACATTGCAAAAGATGAGTATGTGTATTGGAATGTAAAGCTAATACCATAAAGGTACCTTACTTTGATTTCTCTCTCCGTCCCCTGCCAGGTACCAAGAGAGCTTCATCTGCCAATTTCCTCACAGACAACAAGCCAGGCACATCTGGTCACACCCCTGATCATAGTATCCTCACAGATAACAAGCTAGTCTCATTTCTATCACTGTTACATGAGGAACAATGAAGCCTTTTACCTGATATTCCCATACATGACAAGCAAGTCTGATGATTGATAATCTTATGGAAATAAGCGAGTCTAACCCATCGATATCAAGAGATAACAAGCTTGCCTCATCTCCCAATACCTTCTTACGTAACAATCTCTTCTCACCTCCATATCTCCCCATAGTAAGCCTCCACGCCATATCCTCAAAGGGAACAAGCGACCTACCTCCCGATATCCTCAGTCAACAAGTTAGCCCCATCTCTTCATATCATCAGACAACAAGCAAGCCTCGACTCCTGATATCCCCACAGACAACAAGCAAGCCTCACCTCCCGATATCCCCACAGACAACAAGCAAGCCTCACCTCCCTATATCCCCACAGACAACAAGCAAGCCTCACCTCCCAACATCCCCCAGACAACAAGCCTCACCTCCCGATATCCCCACAGACAACAAGCAAGCCTCACCTCCCTATATCCCCACAGACAACAAGCAAGCCTCACCTCCCAACATCCCCACAGACAACAAGCCTCACCTCCCGATATCCCCACAGACAACAAGCAAGCCTCACCTCCCTATATCCCCACAGACAACAAGCAAGCCTCACCTCCCAACATCCCCACAGACAACAAGCCTCACCTCCCGATGTCCTCACAGACAACAAACAAGCCTCACCTCCCGATATCCCCACAGACACAAGCCTCACCTCCCAACATCCCCACAGACAACAAGCCTCACCTCCCGATGTCCTCACAGACAACAAGCCTCACCTCCCGATATCCCCACAGACAACAAGCCTCACCTCCCGATGTCCTCACAGATGGGTGTGGAGCCGTCCAGCTGGAGGAGCATGTTGGTCTTCAGCAGGTTCTTTGCCCTGTCCACCTCAGAGTCTGTCACATTTGAACACAGCCTCATCCTGGATAGAACAAAGTCAATATGGCCATAATTAGCTTTCCAAACTAAAATATATGTCATGTTCTCATTAAAATTATAAAGATTTTTGATTTTGATCATGTTTCTGTTCATTGCATATCGAAGTAATAACAGGGATTACTTAAACATCAAAGAGAATATAATAAACATATAATAAAGTTATTTTGTTTTAATTGCATTGTGAGTGAGTTTAGTTTTACGCCGCACTCAGCAATATTCCAGCTATATGGCGGCGGTCTGTAAATAATTGAGTCTGGACCAGACAACCCAGTGATCAACAGCATGAACATCAATCTACGCAATTGGGAACTGATGACCGTGTGTCAACCAAGTCAGCAAGCCTGACCACCCGATCCTGTTAGTCGCCTCTTACGACAAGCATGGGTTACTGAAGATCAATATTCTAACCCGGATCTTCACGGGTGTCATCATAAGTAGAGAAAGCATGACAATCAACAATGCAGACAAATATGAACATACCATTCTCCCTGTACATTGAAGAGCATATCCTCAATTTGTGTGCGCTCACAAACATAGTACAGACCCCTGAAACACAACAGTTTCCTTGATATGTTCATAGTAAGAGATATACAAGGTCAACACAATAAATGCCATATGTTTGACACATCAAAGTTCGACAAAATAGTGTTTGACTGCATCCATCTAAAGCATGCATGGATATTCAAAGAAGTTGTTTGAACTTGTTTGTTTTCATCATTACATTTACATGAACAATTTACCTGTCAGTTATGTCAACATAACAACATGAACAAATGTAAAAGTGTGACGGTAAATAATTAACTTTAAATCTGTCAGACTTGTTACATTAATCTTATAGATATATCAAGTTCAGTTTCGTGATATATGCCCATCTAGATTACAGCTAAAGCTTTCAAGCAGAACACAATGTGACAGGTGTAAGGAAGGTCTTAACCTACACTCTATGCTATGACTATATGTTTGTGCATATCCACTGACAATAGTGAGCATTATAACAGTCACACTCACCACAGTCCAGTGTCAGTGTAGCAGGTGTTAAAAGACTGGAAACTATGACACAGGTTTGCTGATGCGCTGTTGGCAGCTAGGGGGCTGGCAAGGTTGGCACCGCCTCCAAAGGATCTGTCCCAGCTGCCGATGAGAGTGTTGGCCACCATGAGGGCGATGTTGTCTGGATTGGACCACCCGCAGCCTTCAACAGCTAAGGCTACATGGGCCAGGGGCATACTGTCATCTCGAACAAGAATCTGTGTACAGGAATATACGTGAAAATTTAATATGGATGTTATTAACATGCCGTCAACATTCATCCTTGCACAAAAGTGTCTTGCTGGAATTTGTTGTCAATTATTCTTGCATTTGTTGGTTGGTTGTTTTTTAAAGCCGCACTCAGCTCTATTCCAGCTATATGGTGGCGGTATGTAAATAATCAAGTTTGGACCAGACAATCTAGTGATCAACAGCATGAACATTGATCTATGCAATTGGGATATGACGTGTCAACCAAGTCAGCTAACCTGACCTTCCAATTCCCTTAGTCACCTCTTACGACAAGCATGGATTGCAGAAGATGATCACAGGCTTCTAGCATTAGTATAGACTATCTTGCTACATCATCTGTACATAGGGGCCAGTGGGGTAGTCTACTGGTTAAAGCATTCACTCGTCATGCTGAAAACCCGGGTTCGATTCAACACATGGGTACACTGTGTGAAGCCCATATCTGGTGTCCACCTGCCATGATATTGCTGGAATATTGCAAAAAGCAACATAAAACTCACTCACTCACTCATCTGTAAATACTCATGAACACTTTGAGTTAGATGCTCTTTTAACTTAGGATTCAAACCACAGCCCAGTAATGGTGCATGGCTGATCAATGAGCAAATATGCAATATTTCTGGTATAAACATCTGCATACATTCACTGGTGATGTAGGGTATGGTGTGTATAAACAAGATCAGACAAGATCAATACTTCTGGTGCATGACAGATGATGATACCTGAGAAGAGGCCTACCTCACTGCCGGTGAATCTGCATGGGGGCAGTAGAGGAATTTCTCCCTCATAATTTGTGCCGATGGAGCCGAAATGTTGTTTAGCGATGTTGACCAGTGAATCATGGTTTACACCTGTAACATTGAACATCTTGATCTAAAACATACCCAAGGTTCACATTTACTTACACAGACAATTGGCAGAATCGGACACACTGAACTATGTATATGACCATGTTGACACTGAAAGAATGGATCACATACAACTGAAATCCATAAAGGTTTTCTTACAGGAATAGTTGATAGGTCTAATTCTCAAAGTCAAACCATCCACTAACACAGTAGAACTTAACCTGACCACACGAGTATCAACCTACAAACCCACACATATTGTAACACCTATATGTACTACTACACCAACATATCTATCTGCATGACACTAATACCTGTATGTATCCGACAGTAACACCTGTATGTACTGGACACTGAACCCTGTATGTGCCCATCACTAACATCTGTATGTACCCAACACTAACACCAGATGAAAACATCTGCTTGTACCTGACAGCAAAACACACACACACACACACACACTGAACCCTGTATGTACCCAACACTAACATCTGTATGTACCCAACACTAACACCAGATGCACTGGATGAAAACATCTGCTTGTACCTGACAGAACGCCACGCACGCGCACGCACGCACGCACACACACACACACACACACACACAGCATGTACCAGGATACACCAACATTTGGATGATATACTGCATGCAATGGACACCACATACCTGTCACCAACAGCCTGTATGTATAAATACACCAACTTATGTATGCAGTACTACACCAACACCTGTTTCAACCTACACCAACAATGATGCATCATGCACCCATACAAGTCCTCACCTCCTGCAGCTGCCAGCACAATGCGAGGTCCTTTGTAGTGAGAATTGATGTACTCAACAAGGTCCCCACGCTTGATGGATCTGAAACACACACATTCATCATCATGGACAAAATCAAAATCAGACACACATCCGACAACACCCATGGTCACATATCAAGGTCAGCATCAAGATGAAAATTGGAAACCCATACATCTCTCAATGTGTACAGTCAGGTTAAGATCACCATGAAAACACACAGCGACACATCTCAGATATTCTCAGCTTAAAACAGGGAATAGCATTTCTCATCAACACACCAAAGTAAACTGAAACATTTCTACATGGAATTCTTGAACATTTTGCATTTTAACACAAACCCCCTCCACTCAACACTTAGTGGTTGCTAATATCATTAGGGTTTAAACCATGAAGAGTTTCCACACTAATCATTGAGGATACAGAACAAATATTTTCAAGTACCCATTCATATGAACAATTTGTGTCCTGAACTTACTGAATGTTCTCTGTGGGCCCGAGGATGGTTCTGCCGAGAGCTGTTCCCTGGTAGGCAGTGGCGTGCAGGTGGTCAAACACAACTTCCTGGAGGTTGGTTTCCACTTCCTGGCAACAGAACACAGAAGCATAGTAGGAACGATTTCACAGTTGCTGGAGTGACGGTGATTTTACACAGCTGGCAGCAATATTTCAGCCCTATCCCAGCAGGGAACACCACAAACTGACATAACATACTGTACCTGTATCGGGAATAAAACCTCGGCCTATGGCATGACAAAAGATCACCCACTTGGCTACCCCACTGACCCTCTTGCTGCTGATGGATAACAAGACAGAGTTCAAGTGTACAGTTTTATGCTAACCATCTTACAGAGGAACCGTACGCAATGACAGAACAGATGTAACCATGGTTACACACCTGCATTTCCCTGAGGATGACGCCCCTTTCTCTCTCAATTTCCTGCTCTCCCAGAGTGCTGTTCTGAATGATGTCAGACAAAATGTCCACAGCTGAAACACAAGTATGTGCATGATTGAATATTCTCTCACTGTTTAAACATTGATACCTAAATTTGTTATCTTGCATACATGTTTCGCTAAACAATGAACACTCCAACTTTTGATGAAGTCGCCACGATGGATCCTTGGGGATCTCACAAATACTGACTGACCCACCTCCAACAACCACCTCCTAGTTGAGTATAACACATGACAGTCAACTGTAGGGAATACCTACCCTTGTTCATGTCTTGTGAGAAACATTTGGCATAATATACTGTCTGTTCACGAGAGGTGTAAGCATTGAGATGAGCTCCCATGTTCTCCACTTCCAGTTCAAGGTCGGTCTGTGATCGCTTCTGTGTTCCCTGAAACAATAGAAGAACATAATTATGATGAACTGCTTGTGTTCATTCAACTTGACAAAAACATTAACCTGACTTATGAATGTACTTTCAACATTTGTTATTAAGTTTTCATTTTGATCAAAGAAGCGGTTAAAGAAACAAAGCAAAACACATTTCTTGAAAGTGCAGTAAATCTGGGATTTTTTTTTTTCTAATTATGGCTGTCCTCAACTAATTCTCTCATAAGAATGGCCAGAACAAGCCCTGAAACGTTGTACTCGAGAATAAAAAGAAGATGTAACCCAGAAAAAATCTCTATGTTCATCAAATATCATCTTCTAAAATGCCAATCAAGCCTCTAGTTATCAACTGATTAATGCTTTCAGTTCCATTTGTCCTCCACAGCTCTGCAGATTTAGTTTTTATGCCTTTTTTACTGTTCCAGCAATATCATTGCAGGAGACACCAGAAAGGGGCTTCTGCATTGTATGCAGAACATAAGCCAAACGGAGTGATTGAGAGAGTTTAGTTTTACGCCGCACACAGCAACATTCCAGCTATATGGCAGCGGTCTGTAAATAACTGAGTTTGGACCAGACAATCGAGTGATCAACAGCATGAGCATTGATCTGCGCAATTGTGAACCCGTTTGTTGCCTCTTACGACAAGCATGGGTTACTGAATATCAATATTCTAACCTTCTGGACCTTCATGGGTTATAAGCTAATTGATAATGTGCACTATAACAACACCCTTCAATACAAATATTGTCTACAGTGCTCTAAGTGTATGACAATGACAATGTTAGTCACGATGGTCTATTTGTTACCTTAAATGCCATGTGTTCAAGGAAATGAGCAACCCCATTGTTCCTCTGATTTTCAAACCTGCTTCCAGCATCTATCCACAATCCAACCTGAAACAGAAAAAAACACTCAGATGGGTTTCATGTCGTTTGAACAGAATTCCAGTTATATCATGTTGTCTCAGTAAAAAAGAGAAGGGAGCTATAATGGGTGCAAAACCAGATTTAAACCTTGAGAGCTGGAACTTTTATCTGTGCCTACTGTGCCCTAAAGACCTTTCATGACCATACTGAATGACATCCTGAATGAATGACAGTAACTACTTACAGTACATGTTGGAATTCCAGAGTCTTCAGTTGCCACTCGGAGACCATTGTCAAGAGTTGTCACCCTTGTTTCTGGAACATTTAATATTGTCTGTTCATAGGTTGCTGCCTTTGCTGACATCCATCGCTTGTTGGTGAAGAAAGCATATTGTACCTGTGAAAGGAACGACATAAGTATATAATTCCTTCACAAATATATTACAACTTTGATAAACCAAAATACTAAGAATTATTTATCTTAGACAATGCAGTTTAACTATTTGAGATCAGACATTGTGTAACTGGTCCACTAGTCAATGTCATGTATAGTCATGATACTGACTGAGTTTTGGTTTTACGCCGCTTATAGCAATATTCCAGCAACATCACTGCAGGGAACACCAGAAATGGGCTTCACACATTGTACCCATGTGGGGATTCGAACCCGGGTCTTCGGCGTTACGAGCCAAGGCTTTAACCACTAGGCTACCCCACCGCCCCCTGTAGTCATGATAAGTATTAAAGTAACTCTACTAAACATGCTAAATGAGACAACTGTTCTTTCAGTTTTAGCATGTTTAACACTGTTCCAGCCGCATAATGAAAGATGACAATTCATCATATATAACATCATTTAAAGCATGTGCAAGTAACAGTGATTTAAAATGCCAGGCAGTCAGTGAAATAAGCATAAGAACCATTGGAACAAAAAATGAAATAACTTATGACAGTAAATGGGTGACTTGACTGCTGATTTTAAATTTACTCCAATGTGTGATGTGTGTGTTGCTAAGCAGTAGTGATGCTACAATGCACAGCTGAATGCTGCTGTTCAGGATCATATGTCAGTCTACTTGCCCAAACCTGACATTTAGCATGTTTAACATCATTACAAGTACATTCTGGTGTTATTATGTGGTACTGTATAAGCTGATCTTACTACACCAAACATAATTTCACAAGACCGGGGGCTTAAGGCTCATAGCTAAAGTCAAAGACAGCAATCTTCATGTCTATTTTCAACTAATCATGGTTAATGGCCCTGAGCATTCACAACTTAAGGTGAAGTTAGAGATACCATTTTTGACATTTACAAGGGACACTTACAGGTAGTTCACTCACAACTGTATAGTTTTCAACTTTTGTACTGCTTACATATCAAATCTGACCACCTAGAAATGTTGTCAAACTGCAGTTACACAGATCTAAATCTCTTTCACTCATGCACACATCATCTGTGATGCACAGACAGGTGATTTTTTATTATAAATGGGAGATAATCAAGTAAAAGCTAGCCACCAACTAAAACACAATCAGAAAATTTTCGTAACACACATTTTGACCATGCAAAAGTATGTGTGTATCAACGCAATGTTGGTATAAGCTTGTGTAAAATAACGTCACAAACAATACTCGACAATACCTCTAAAGTTGTTTTGTAATTAATGTTTGGTCAACCCAGTTAGGACACGGACACAACATCCTTTCCATTTAACATAGAGTGATATTCGAGTATAGACGTCCGGAATCCAGACACCACTGGTCACGTTGAAGTCGGAACAGTTGTAGTTTTGTATCCAAAGACGCAAGATCATGTCTTCTGAAAGTTCTTAGATACATAACCACGAGAGGTGAAAAGGACATACAAAACATCTCACACTGCTGGTTTTGAATATATTGTCTAGGGACACAGAATAACAGATTTGGCGAATGTTCATGCTTTCAAAGTGGCTATAGTTTTGCGTATTATATTACCCTTGATGTCTTCGGCAACACTTTCGTGAGTGCATTCGTGACCTTCAACAGATGAGTCGCCATCTTGACCGGCGAAAACGTCGAAAGGGCATGCGCAATGGGAGTTGTGCTAAAAGTATTCTCATATTAAACCGAAAACGACACCCACACAAGAAACGGCACGTAACATACGCAACATCGACAACAAGAACAATAATGGGAGTACTGCACTTTACCGGTCGCACTTTTTCAGATTAATTAGCGTTGCTGGGTTCCCTAACCCTAACCCCTAACCCTAAGGTGCCTAACCCTAAGGATAGTAAAGGGTGCCTAACCCTAACCCTAAGGATCGTAAAGGGTGTCATACCCTAACCCTAAGGATCGTAAAGGGAGCGGTAAAGTGCATTCTAGCCACAACAATAACGGCAATATGCCCAACATGTATGAAAGAAAATGTTTTCGACTGACACGTTTGCCATCTGTTCACCAAACAACTTTATTAATTATGTTAATTTCAGTTGCTTACTTCCAACATTTCTAATCTACTCTTCATAGATTTGCATGTCTAATCTATTGGTAGTTATTGGCATTTGATACTTAGAACTATTCGTCACATTTTGTAAATTAATTACATTCACACTCATAGCCGATTTCATAATAAATGACAGATCCGTCTTTTGTAAATATCCAAAATGTTTTACATCAGAGTTATGTGCCCTTGGATGGCAGGTGCCAGTTCTAGCAGACGAATTTAGTTCTGAAAGACATCTAGTGTATTATATGTATGAGTCTTGACGTTCTCTTTTGTTATATGTTAACACTATCACTGAATCAAACACGTTTCAGTTTGATGTAAGAGAAAGATGATATTGTGGAAGTCTTTGTTACAATCTTAGAAATTCAAAAAAATGAACTATTTGTCAAAATTGGCATGACTGCATAAAATGCAATGTTTAAATCTGTAACAACTCTTTCAAAAACCTAAATGTGGAGGCAGTTGTGTATCATAGAGAATACAGGAACTGATGCTGCCTTTAATATTCCCTGCTGGTTTTATATCCCGGATAAGTGTTTGTTAAAGCTAAACCAATACCTCAGCAAAACGTTCCTGAACAAAAGCAGAACCTCTTCTATAGGCATAAGGGGTATTTATTTTAGTTGAAAACTGCTCATTTTCTTTTTGACAATAAATGTAATAAAATTCACAGATTCTCATGCAGTTCAAATACTTGTGAAATGGTAATCTATTCAAAACATGACATTAACCAGCAGGACTAAACATCAAAGTCAACTTTTTACACAATTATGTTGAGTCTGGTAGTTTAGCCCCCCCCCCCCCAAAAAAAAAATATCCGTTTCCTATTACAATCTTTTTAAAAATAGGGTATGTGGGTCGGTTTTATCTTTTTTAAAACTTTTAAATTATTTTTTAGCAGCACCAGGTGGTCACCTGAGTAGGTCTTCAAGGATATCATATCATGTAGTGACAATGCCTTGTGATGTAACATTGAAAGATTTCCATATCAAATCATTACTTATGTTATTTATTTTGCAGGGTTTGTCAGTGAGAGCCCATTATGCCAATTCAATGCAATCCGTTTTAGCCCTGTACACTTAAAAACATAAAAAATATCATTCTTGATTTGGATAAAAATGATGAGTTGAAATGCACTCGTCATGATTTTGACTCCATGTGTGTGTGTGTGTGTGTGTGTGTGTGTATGCGTCGTCGTGTAATGCGCGTGCGTGTGTGTGTGTGTGTTTTGTTTGTTTAGGATAGGGTCGGTCGGGTTACCGGAAAAGGTCATATTTTTGTTGGGGGCCTTAATTATAAGCCCATTCAGTTTTTAACAGTATATGATATTGTACTGGTGATATGAAATCTGAATACTATTGTGTTGCTGCACATCACACTAATTTGTCACAATCCTTGACCTTGTGGTTCCTGAGAATAAAATTTAATTTGCATTCTTCATTAAAAAGAAAATCCCAAGTTTCATCATGGTGATAGAATATATTGACATCGTCTTAAATGTTTGTCATGATTTGACTGCCTTGTAGACACTGTATTTGCCCTCACAGTAAAAAGTGAATTTGAGAAACAAATATGAAAGGAAATAACATTATTAAATGCACTAAATATATATGCGCACATACATATATAAATAAATCTTTGACTGCTAATTTATATATCACTGCTAATAAGAGCTTTTACATTCCAAATGTGTTGTTACCAACAGAATCATTTTCCACCTGGATAGCCAGTACCAGTTTTTGATCAACCAGGGTTTATTGACTTTACAGCTGACATGGTGAGGAGATCAACCGCGTTGAATGGAAGTGTTCTGAGTTGTGTAACGTTATACAGTCTAGTGTACTTAAACAATGACACAGCGAAAAACTGACGCATAGTTCTGTACAGGGTATTACAGTGTTATCAAGTATTTAAGCAGGTAAGTTCTTTTGTCAGATTATATGAGATAATGTAGGGAAACCATCCAACAGCATATAAATATGTTCTTTGGGATGTACTATTGCTGCTATCAGATAAGACAGAAACAGGATGAGTATGATGGCAACAGTTGTATCACTTGCTTAGGACGATGGTGAGATAAGGGCACATCATCTTAAATGACTGATCAATAAATTAGAGACTAGGAAAACATTACTTCTGACTGACTGAGTTTGGTTTTCGCCGCTTTTAGCAATATTCCAGCAATATCACGGCGGGGGACACCAGAAATGGGCTTCACTCATTGTACCCATGTGGGGATTCGAACCCGGGTCTTTGGCGTGACGAGCCAACGCTTTAACCACTAGACTACCCCACCACCCCAGGAAAACATTACTTATTAACAGTGGATGGTGGTGTTCGTTATCATTGTTTATCATCACAAGCAGTATCAGCCACAAGTTTTGTGTCCAACTCTTCAGGAACAAGTACTATTTGTTATTAATATAGTTTTCATTTGTACCTCCATACATCTGTACATAATGAAACACTTTGAACATACTCAATAAATGAGATATTTTCATGAATATATTATTTCAAATCATGATGACAAGAGGTATTTTTGCATGAAATGCCTGGAAAATATGCTCTGTATGAGTCATTGATTTATATTGAAGATTGGTCAGTTATGACAAACTGATTTTGTTAACGAATGATTTTGTATTACACTATATCATATTCCTATTACAGCTTTGTACAATGGCTGCCACAGGGACAGAACATGAAGAAATGGCCACAACAGAAGCAGATAAGCCTGACTTGAATTCCTTGCATATCCAGTCAGACAGTGAGCAGATGAAGCTGTCCAAGCCTATCTTTGAGAATGGCCGATACAAAAACCCATGGGATACATGGAGGTACAACAGTTTGTGGAACTTGATTAAATTCGTCAGAGGAGGGGAAAACAAGGAGGAGCCAAAGAAAGAGGTACACCATTGACAGTGTCACAATCAAATGTGGGCCACGTAGTTAAAGACGCAGCATTTCATAGGTAGAGTTATGATCACGATCTGTGGATAATGAGTTATAATGTGAGATTTCCCTTGCCTTTTCAGTGCCATACTATTGCCATATAGCTGGCATATTGTTAAGTGCAGCATTAAACAACAAACAAACAAACAAATAAATAATCCATACTGAAGTGGTAAACATTTCTGTGCTTTCTTTAGGGGATCATTTGTTTAAAATACAATAGCAATAAACCGCAAAGACCACGTTCAGTTGTTAACATTATGTAGCAGGGATTTATCAACACATTGTCAGAGGCAGATGTTTGGAGCCAATGTTGCTGCATATGTCAGTAAAAATTCCAAAATTGGCAAAATTAAATATTTCTGATTCGTGTAATAATTAATGACAGAGGTTACTTCTATTCACTGATAACAGGACCAATGAGGAATTGTTTGCTTCTCAGCCTGGCATATTAGGTGGTGATGAAGAGGCTTACCAGCAATTTAATTTTTCAGGAACTGGACAGAACCCTTCCTATCATGAAACCCAACTTTGAAGAATTTTCAGCCCCACCTTCAACTGGTGTGAGATACATGTGGATTGGGCACGCTTCAACACTAGTGCAAGTGGATGGTGTCACTATACTGACTGACCCAATATTCAGTAACAGGTGCTCACCAATCCAGTTCATGGGACCTAAACGGTACCGCGACCCACCATGCACTATAGAAGAACTGCCTCACATTGATATTGTAGTGGTCAGTCATAACCACTACGACCACTTGGACCTGTATTCGGTGGAGACGCTCAACAGGAAGTACGGTAAGAACCTGAGATGGTATGTTCCTGTCGGAATCGGAAAATGGATGTCTGATCGAGGATGTGAAAACGTTGTAGAGTTGTCATGGTGGGATGAAGACATTTTCACAGGAAGGTCAGAGGTGAAGGTCGTTTGCACACCATGCCAGCATTGGTGCAAGAGGACACTTCTAGATACAAATAAGGTTTGTAACATTTAAACTATTATTGTACAACAGCCACAATACGTATATGATCATGATGATATTCAAAGGTTTAGTCTTGAAAGAGTGTGTTGAGAACATCATGAAAATATTACACTGTATGGCGAGGCTGGTTGAAGGATAATTGTGGTAGGTAGATAGATTTGTATGTAGGCAGGTGTTCAGGCATATGAGTAGGCAGGTATTACACTGTATGGCGGAGGTTGGTAGAAGGATAATCATGGCAGGTAGATAGATTTGTATGTAGGCAGGTGTTCAGGCATATGGCAGGTTTTACACTGTATGGCCGAGGTTGGTAGAAGGATAATCATGGTAGGTAGATAGATCTGTATGTAGACAGGTGTTCAGGCATATAAGTAGGCAGGTATTACACTGTATGGCCGAGGTTGGTAGAAGGATAATCATGGCAGGTAGATAGATTTGTATGTAGGCAGGTGTTCAGGCATATGAGTAGGCAGGTATTACACTGTATGGCCGAGGTTGGTAGAAGGATAATCATGGTAGGTAGATAGATTTGTATGTAGGCAGGTGTTCAGGCATATGAATAGGCAGGTGTTCAGATATATGAATAGGCAGGTCACAGGTGGGTGAATAGGCAGATAATATGGCAGATGAGTTGGGAGAGTGTATGCAGGAGGGTGAGTAGGCACAAACACAGGAGTCAAGTAGGCATATTCTTTTGTCTAGGAAGGTTGCTAGAATGGTTTAACCATATAATCATAGAGTATTGTATCCTGATATTAGGCCAACAGTACAATACATCGATTTACAACTCCTTTATTGTAATACATGTGATACATTACAAATTAGGTTGGTGTAAAACTGTGAATGATAACGGAAACAGATCAACAATGCAGATTCCTTGTACTTCCCAACTTGCAATAGATGTACAACATTTACAATGCCCTCCAGTCTGTACGTTTCTTCCCAAACAGTATTCATGTTTGATTCTTAACTTTAAGAACAAATGATTTAGGGTTGGGACTCAACTTCTAAAAAAGAAACTACTGCATCGGATGCACTAAATGTATCACACCAATAGTATTGTTAGACCTCTTATGGGTGAGTGAGTGAGTTAATATTTAACGTCACATCGGCAATATCTCAGCCATATCTTGACGAAAACAATTTATACAATAAAAAGTGAAGACATTTTGAAGATATAAACCTGTTGACGATGGACAGTAAAAATACTAGAGAATCACAGATATGAATATAAAACTAAGAAGACAATACAGTATAAAACACAGACTGTAGATCGCCAACAACTGAAGGTAGATCACCATACTAGGAACCATGGGGACTTACATTACTTTTGCTACCTGTATGGACCCTAGCTGGATTTCCGCCATCCCTTCAGCCGCTGAAGGAAAATTGTAGGAAAATTTAGCCAGCAGTTAAAAGAACAAAAATACTACGTTTAAAATGGGGTAAATTTACATTTTACTTTGAAAGTTTTGGGACTTACATACCCACCTCTTATGGTAATGCAGGAGTAGGATAAAGCAATTGAGTGAGTGAGTGAGTGAGTGAGTTTAGTTTTAGGCCACTTTTAGCAATTTTGCAGCAATATCACGGTGGGGGGCTACAGAAATGGGCTTCACACATTGTACCCATGTAGGGAATCAAACCCAGGTCTTCGGTGAGACGAGCGAACGCTTTAACCACTAGGCTACCCCACTGCCCTAAAGCAGTTGAGTAGGCAGGTGGAACAGCAGGATATTTTGTAGACAGGTAGGTAGCCAGCTGAGTATGTGGATCGGCAGGTACAATCAATTTGTCCATGTGCTTTTTGGAAGGTAACTTATTCCTTATGAATTGCTGGAAAGGGATTGGATAAAGAAGTGCAATGAAATAACAGGTGTTAATTGCTATTTGTTAATATCCACTGACTTGTGTCATATTTTCCATTGCTGCCTGTGAGTTAATTATCATATTAAATGAAATTGTTTTGTCTACTTCAGGCACTGTGGTCAAGCTGGGCTTTGATTGGTCCAAAGCATAGTTTCTTCTTCGGTGGAGATACTGGTTATTGTGAAGCATTCAAGCAGATTGGCTGGAAATATGGAAACTTTACACTTGCTGCTATACCAATTGGATGTTTTAAACCAAGGTGTGGATAATATGTCTACATTTTGTTATGGAAAGCACATATGGTAGCATTGTCATGCCAAAGATATTTACTTTTTACTGAAATGGGAGCATTGTTAGCTTATATTCACCCCAACTTCTAGTGCCAATCTGAAGAACTCATGAGTCCAACCTGACCAAATTGATACTGTCATGACACCTTTGGGGATTGCAGGAAGGACTTCAGTATGTTTCCAGTATCCTCATGCTTGTAGCACATAAGTAGTCAGAATCGGTGATTTGACTGATCATTCCTGCATCCGGTATACCCCTATATCATTTAGTCCCTCCGATCCCCAGGTAACATGCGATTTGACTGATCGTTCCTGTATCCGGGTATACCCCTATATCATTTAGTTCCCCGACCCCAGCTATCGTGTTATTTGACTGATCGTTCCTGTATCTGGTATACCCTTATATCATTTAGTCCCCCCGATCCCCAGGTAACATGCGATTTAACTGATTGTTCCTGTATCCGGTATACCCCTATATCATTTAGTCCCCCCGACCCCAGCTATGGTGTTATTTGACAGATCGTTCCTGTATCCGGTATACCCCTATATCATTTAGTCCCCCCGACCCCAGCTATGGTGTTATTTGACTGATCGTTCCTGTATCCGGTATACCCCTATATCATTTAGTCCCCCCGATCCCAGCTATCGTGTTATTTGACTGACCATTCCTGTATCCGGTATACCACTATATCATTTAGTCCCCCCGACCCCAGCTATCGTGTTATTTGACTGATCGTTCCTGTATCCGGTATACCCCTATATCATTTAGTCCCCCCACCCCAGCTATCGTGTTATTTGACTGATCGTTCCTGTATCCGGTATACCCCTATATCATTTAGTCCCCCCGATCCCAGCCATCGTGTTATTTGACAGATCGTTCCTGTATCTGGTATACTCCTATATCATTTAGTCCCCCCGATCCCAGCTATTGTGTTATTTGACAGATCGTTCCTGTATCTCATATACTCCTATATCATTTAGTCCCCCCGACCCCAGTTATCGTGTTATTTGACAGATCGTTCCTGTATCTGGTATACCCCTATATCATTTAGTCCCCCCGATCCCAGCTATTGTGTTATTTGACAGATCGTTCCTGTATCTCATATACCCCTATATCATGTAGTCCCCCAGATCCCAGCTATCGTGTTATTTGACTGATCGTTCCTGTATCCGGTATACCCCTATATTATTTATTCCCCCCTTTCCCAGCTATCGTGTTATTTTACTGATTGTTCCTGTATCCAGTATACCCCTATATCATTTAGTCCCCCCGATCCCAGCTATCGTGTTATGACATCATTGTTCACGGCAGTAATGTAACAGAAGCCATTTGGTTATCACTTAAAATGTTTTCGATAAACAATGGAAGCTTCTTGTCTCTCCCTGCAGCTGGTTCCTGTCTCCCCAGCACGTCGGCCCACAGGAGGCGGTGCAGATCCACCGCGATATTAGAGCCGTCAAGTCAGTTGGCATCCACTGGGGCACCTTCAAAATGATGGCATATGAGGTATAACTATTTGTATTCATAAGTCAGAATTTATTATTATAGAATGGACTAACTTCAGGACATTGATGTAACATGACAACAAATTGAAAATGAAATTAAAGAAAATATTGTTTAACGACCTTAATGTTAAAGCCTTTGGTGGACTGATCATCACATTCAAGAAGCCATACACATATGGACATACATGTTGCTTTGTAAGTCTTGAACACAACATTTCACCTCAGCCCCCTTGTTACAATAATATGATCCATTTGCTTGCATGTCCTTGAATCCTGACAATTGGAATTGTTGTGATATTATTAACTAATTGTTTGTCAATTCGTTCATTCCCTCGTAATTTAGATGCTACCACAGTTGCAATGTGATAGAAAACATTTCCTCATTCTTTCTATGTAAACTAAGACCATGCGATCTTGTTTCAGCACTACTTGGAACCTCGAGAAACCCTCATAGAAGAGGTATCAAAGGCAGGACTTAAGCCAGAAGACTTTGTCACTGTGAATCATGGAGAAATATATATATTTTAGATAGTCTGAATCTCATACCATCTGTCTTCATTGACAGTACAAGTACAGCATATTGTCACTCTCCACATGTTCTTCTTGAAAGGGTACGCTAATGGATTCTGTCAATCATGTAAACTACAATCAAAACAAATTTATATTCGTACACACCTATGCTAATTTTACATGCTGCGTATAGATTGCTGTAATGAGACTTCACGTGTCACCTGCTGTGACATGACCTAACATGTCACTTGTTGTGTTGTGCTATCGGACACAATACCTGTTGTGATGTGACCTCACGTGTCACCTGCTGTGACCTGACCTCACCTGTCACCTGCTGTGACATGACCTCACATGTCACCTGTTGTGATGTGCTTCACAGGTGACCTGTTGTAATGTAACCTGATCCACATCACCTGTTTTGGTGTGACCTCGGACACATCTTTTGCTGTAATGTGACCTTACACTACTTCATGATATTGAACATGTCCTTTTGATCACTGATCAGTTATTCCTGGACGTATCTGTACTGAATTGTGATATATTAATTTTTGTCGTATATTGTCATATTTGGCAAAGCTTTAATCTTAGACTTTTGTCGGATGGCTATCTCTGTTATGATAACATATAATTTTGTCAGTCTACAGATCCTGTGGTGCATGAGACAGATGATAAGATGAACATGTTGTGTGAATGTTTGTTGTGTAGAAATGTAATTCCAGTTTAGTCTGATTCGTTCTTGTATGACCTCTCCGACTAATAATGATATTCTGTAACAATTCAGGTGAGCTTCAGAACCTAGTATTTATGTATCACTTGAATAAATTAGCCATCAGTTATTATTATGAATGATTCGTATTATGTGACATTTCAAATATGCAGATACGTTTCTCTATCTTTACGATTATTGTAAAAAGGGGCCTAAAAATAACAGAGCCTATTTTGTATGGCTTGTAGTAGGGCTGGCTTTAAAGATCAATAATCAGATATATTGTCGATAGGAATGATTATTAATTCTGATTGATATGAAAAAGTGTCATTGATAGTATTGAACCAGAGGCCCAGATAAGCTGCGTATCCGGGTAAAATACGCATAGAAAATTTCCAATTACGCATTGAAAAATAATTCTTGCGTATCAATTACGCATTTAAAATGTTAGATACGCAAAAAGTGTAAAACAAATGCGTACGGAATATATTTATAAAAATCGCTTGCGTTATGAAAAAGACATCGATTGCTATCAAGTTGTACTGTTAGTATAGGACAAGTGTTGTACTGTCAGTATAGGATGAGTGATTTTTGTATGAAATCATTTCCATTATATTTAAGTTGGTTTTGATTAGGTATGACATAAGACAGAACATACCTGCTTAGTAAACTTACTCAATGACATAATACTTAGGTGAGTAAAATGACTGAAATACGCACATATTTGAAAGCAGTGGGTAACGGAAAATGAAATACCCACTCAACATTCATAATACCCACTCCAAAAAAATACAGTGGGTACAGTACCCACATGAGCTAAATCTTATCTGGAGCTCTGTGAACATAAACGTTTGTGATAGAATATAGATTATATTTACTCGCAGTCAATGCACAATTTTCTTTTTTTTCATGGGCTGCTTCCAAATTAAGTTCAGAACGCTGTTTTGTGTGTAACCTTCATAAACATGTCACCACTCACCAGTGACATGAAATATATTAATTTCTTTCAATATTTTGGGGCATTTGTCCTTCTCCTATATTTATAGGTAATCGATCGATATTTATTTAATGATTATCAATCTCTTAGATCTATATATACTGACGAGCAAAATATACTTTCTCCTTGTTCAGTTTGATCTCACTTAAAAACAACAACAAGAAATCGAATTTGCAATTTATAATTTGTGAAGCAATGACATAGGCACGTGTTTAGTACAAACGTTCGATTTTTAACAAGGCTGATAACTGATTGAACAGGTTATGGTCGACATGGGGTCAAACTAGAGAATTCACGATCAGTGGGTCCATTCGGGAAACACAGCAAAGCGTGAACAGAAGTCTCTAATAGCGAGTTTGTCCACCTCTGGGGAGAGTACATGCAAACACACGTCTTCTGACTGAAGTTGTGAGGCGTCTGATGACATCAGCTGGGATTCGCCTCCATTCTTCGACAAGGGCTTGAGTCATTTGCTGTACTGTAACTGGTGGATTCTGTCTCCGTTGAATACCTTTATCAAGGTGGTCCAATACGTGCTCGATTGGCGACATGTCAGGAGAGCGTGCAGGCCATGACAGGACGTTGACATTGTTGGCGTGAAAGAAGTTCTCGATAACTCGAGCGACCATGTCTGTCTGTTCCTCGGTACGGTCGGTAGGCCCTGATACCATTGGCCCGTAGTCGGTGACCGAGCGCTGTTGACGCTTATGATGCTACCGTCAGGAAGCGGTTTCTAAGGTGTAACGTCCTCAGGTGGCGGTCTTCCTGCGCAGTTGTCACCCGGGATCTGCCTGTCTGCGGCCTGTCTGAGGTCTGACCAGTATGTTGGTAACACCGACGAAGGTTCCTGACGGTCACAACGGAGAAATTGAAGGTTCTTGCAACGTGACCCGTTGTAGCGCTAATTTGCAGCATTCCGATGGCCCTCTCTGGCTCTGCTGAAGTTAACCTCGGCATTGTAAAGTGGTTTTCTGCTGAAGTACGATCTGCTCTGTGCTGTGAGGTGGTTTTATACCATGCATGCACGTGCATTTTACCCTTACTTGCAAAACACGTGCATTTTGCTGTTTTCGATACAAAGTTGTCAAGAGGTGCGTTTGGTCAGAATTGAACCCTTGTTTTTGGCAATAACTATGGGGCAATTTGCATTTGATTATATTTTCTTATATTCATATTATGAAATTTTTTGCAAGAGAAGGTTTCTTTTGCTCATCAGTATAGATAGCCAGCCCTAGCATATAGTAGGAGACTGAAGTGAAACAAGTAATGAGTTTGACGTTACTTTAGAAAGATCTGCCATACGTAAAGTTGATATGGAGAAACCTAGCTGGGTTTTATGTATACAACAGAAATGCCTTATAATGCTCAGGGACATCACAAGCATACTTGAGTCAGAAACAATTTTGCTTAAGGTTAAATGAACTTAATACTTTTTATGATATTTCAAAGGTATTCTGCTGATCATAGCCTTTGGAGTTGGACCTGTTTGTTGTCTGTGGTAGATGTCCTGCCTTTTTGCAGAAGAAACTTCATAAGTTATGAATATTGTGTCTCATTGAACTTACTATCATCATACATGGGATGTTTTCTGAGTGTTTTCAGGAATATATGTACAATAGCAATCAGGAATTTTGAAAGTAAACTAAAATCTAAATCATGTCAAACCTATGATCATCATGTTTAGGTTGTTTTCTGAGTTTTGTTTTAAAGGAATATAAGAAGCAGATCTTCATTATCAAGAGACAGTTTGAAAGTAATTCGTCTGATTCTTTGTAACTGAGTACCAGTGAATACTCACTGTGGATGAAAAATCTGATTAAAAACTTGATTGTCCATGAAAGTGGAATATTTAGGCTGAGGAGTTGTAGGGAATGTGTATTATTTATGATGTGTGAGGTTCTGAGCTATGTTTAAAATGGAAGATATGATCTGTTTCATGAAGACAACAGTATTAGGAATGGTGAAATGTTGCATTGTGTGAGTGGTTTCATGCCATATTCAGCAGTAGCCCAGCTGTGTGACTAGACCCTGTACATAGTCAGACAAACACTTGATATAAGTTAACAAGCTGCACTGTTTGGGATGACATGAACAACTAAGCAGTATATGAATGTTTGCTAGAAAATGGTTGCACTGTTAAAACTAGGGGTGGGTATTGTAGAGAATATTCATATTGCGATATATTGTGATGCGAACGCATGTATTGCGATATGTATTGCAATATATTGCATGAAGTATTTTTAAACAAAAAAACTACTTATAATCGAGTTACTGCTTGATTTATAGAGCAAAAACACAACAAAGTCACTATGCTTGATTAAGCTTTAATAACAACTTTTAATCATGATAAAATAAAAATGTGAATAATATTAGGCACAAATGAAACAAGGAAATATCTGAAGATTTCCGAGTGTTATGACGTTTTCCAAATGCAAGTCAAATACCGGTTTTCGATCAGCGTATCGCAATACGTATCGGTTTCATGTCTGAACCGGTAAATACCAGTAACCCGGTTATATTGCGCAGCCCTAGTTAAAACCAGTGCTAACACAACAAAGACTCTTGTTACTTTAAGTACCATGTGCATACATTGTTCAAATGTCCTCTGCAGCAATAAAATGACATCTAGAAATGGAACAAAATAGTCCCAGATCAAGACGACACGATCCATCAAGTTGCCTCTAATCATTTGCTAATGACAAGCATAGGTTGCTGGACTCCAATTCAAACCTGGACTCCCCAAGGGATGAACACTATTTATACTTGAGAGTCTATTTATATGAAAAGCAAGAAAGTGCTGGCATCTCATTGAAGAAGGCTTTTAGTGAGTGAGTGAGTGAGCAGTAACTGTATCAAGTGCTGTATGTAAAATAGTTTTACCACTGGTGTCTTGTTTGTTTGTTTGTTTGTTTGACAAATCAGCAATATTCCAGTTAGATCCCTGTGGTCTGTGATTAAACTGGGCCAGGCAAACCTGTGGTTGATAGCATGAAAGGCATACTGTGTGAGTACACTGATACAATCAGTAACAAAGTCTTACCATCCAATCCCCAGTGACACAAGATACTGGGACCTATTCAGCCCTGGAATTCCAACAAGCCATTAGCGGTGTAATTATTCCCCATTGTTGTTGTGCATGTGGATAATACACTGGTACATTATAAGTATTGTAAGGTCATCTGTTGATTCAGTGTTTTCAGCATAAGCTCCCTTGGATGTCAGAACGTTTACATAGGGGTGTTTATTATTAATAATGAAACCAATCATACTAAATCAGTTTTGTCATCGGAGATCAATGGATATTGATCAATGGATAAGGAATTTGGTTGCTGAAATTCAACACAGTACGTTTATCTTCATTCTACCATAACTGCTTTATTAAGATTATAAAATATACATACTGTGTTGGAAAAACAGAGGTATATAACGTGATTATATACCTCTGAATGACTTTGATTAACCAACCCTAATCCAGCATTTACTGAAGTGACTTAGAATAAATACATGGCAGTTATGTACTCCTTTTCACACTGTGAATCCTGTTAATATCCCAAGACAATGTATATACTCATGCTGGAGCATGTAACAGTTACTTGTAAAGATTGCTCCCATGAAGTAGTTCATGGGTCGCTCAGTGGATCAGGGCTGTGATCTGGTGAGTACTATTCAACTACTGTTAAGCGTATTCCAATCGCATGTTTACCTGAGCAATTTCTAAACTCAGTAACAGTTTTGTGATTAGTAATTCTACTGACATCCCATTCAAACTTAGGTTTAACACATATCCTCATGAAAAACTAAATACATACTTAAAAGAGACACTGTCAATTGAATTCTTGACAAGGAGGATATACATATGGACAAATAAGATTTTAAAAGTTTATTTGTCCAAGCACAAGTAAGCATTTTCATCCTTATCATTTGGGTTGGAACAGGTTCCCACTAACCTGTTCCTTCTAATATAATGGTTGAATATCACTTGATATATGTTGTTTTGTTGACAGTGCCAAATGTTCTGCTGATATATGCCATGTTATATGTTGTAGGTGATCATTGTTAAGTGAAGATGTTCCTAAGCCTCAAGTATCTTTATTATGTCACAACAATGTCATGTCAAATCCCTATGTACTTGTTAACATTATATTTATAATATAAAATGTGAGAATGTGATCAAATATGAGTTTGTTCAGCTTTTGTGCCATGGATATTCTGATTTCAACAGGAATAGATTTCTGCGAGCAATATATTTATAACATCTCTTAGCATCATGATTCTACCATCATTTACCTTGAAAAATATATGATTGAAATAAATATTTATGTCAACATATTTTTTTAATCTGTTTTTAAAAAAAATAAATCTTTTATCAAATTTGGTGTTTTTAGCTCACCTGGTATGGGGGATGCATCATTATGCATGTTCTTGACTATCCATTAGTTTGTGAAACATTGATTTCATAATATGGATGAAATATATCGAAGTTACTTATAAGTTGGGCCATCGCATTTAAAATTTTTCAATATTTTTATATTTGTGTCATGTGAAATTAGTCATTATCTTCTAATGTGGTCATGTGTATAACCAATTTCTTGTGTCCCCTTCCTTGATTTTGCTGGAATATTCTAAAAGCTGTGTAAAACTCAATCACCTGATAATATGGTTACCTATGGTCGCTTGTTATTCTTGTGGTGCCTATTACAAAGATCATCAAAGCCAAAGGACAATATGGGATTGGATTTAGGTGATAAGTGTACCACACTATACAGATCTTTGACTTTTTCAGATTCTGTAATCTTAATCACTCTTGAATATTTATTGAGTTGCTGGGGACTTTCACCCTTAATTTGACATGTTGAGCATATCTATACTTTAGGGCTTCAGTACATACCTTTACATTCCATGTTTGATAGTATTACTTCATTTTGAAATTATTTATTCATGTTATATTAATATCTATTTATTCCTTTTAGTCTATTTATGTATTCAATAACAAATTCTGTTACAATAACATCCATTAGTATTTTATGTTTTGTTAGTATTTTTAAGTGTCCTTTTCAATGAGTGAGTGAATGAGTAAATAAATTCATGCTGCAGCTAGGTGGCGTGGTAAACAATCAAGTCCAGGTGAGAGTTTGATGAAGTTTTCAAACTGTGGTGGTCAAGTCAGGGGCAGTAGCCATCTGCGGACTATTAAGAAGTCTAAATAACCAGAGTGACTCAGTACAGTCATTGCGAGATTGATGAGACAACAACATGTTCATTTTGATTGAGTGAGTGAGTTTGATCTGGAAGCATCGTATTGCTATCACACACAAGACTAACGGAGCCTGGCACAGCTTTAGCTGACATACTACTGGATCCTGGCACTAGTCAGGCTTGACTAACAGCTAGTCTCTGAAATGAACATATTTTACAGAAAATAAAAGTTTTGAAATTAAGATTGTAAATACAATAAAAAGGAGCCCAGGGACTTAAGCTGTGGAAATCTAGACTTGCCACATTTTCGAGACTTGCGTGGGCTTTCTTGGATATATTTGCTTCAGGCTCTGTACGATCCTTGTACTCGCACACAGACATGATTACTGGATCCTGGCACTCCCTCACAGACATGATTACTGGATCCTGGCACTCCCTCACAGACATGATTACTGGATCCTGGCACTCCCTCACAGACATGATTACTGGATCCTGCACTCCCTCACAGACATGATTACTGGATCCTGGCACTCCCTCACAGACATGATTACTGGATCCTGGCACTCCTCACAGACATGATTACTGGATCCTGGCACTCCCTCACAGAGACATGATTACTGGATCCTGGCACTCCCTCAGAGACATGATTACTGGATCCTGGCACTCCCTCAGAGACATGATTACTGGATCCTGGTCCCTCAGACATGGTTACTGCATCCTGGCGCTCCCTCACAGACATGATTACTGCATCCTGGCACTCCCTCAGAGACATGATTACTGGATCCTGGCACTCCCTCAGACATGATTACTGGTTCCTGCACTCCCACACAGATATGATTACTGTATCCTTGCACTCTCACACAGACATGATGACTGGATCCTGCACTCTCACACAGACATGATTACTGGATTCTTGCACTCTCACACAGACATGATTACTGGTTCCTGCACTCTCACACAGACATGATTACTGGTTTTTGCACTCTCACACAGACATGATTACTGGTTCCTGCACTCTCACACAGACATGATTACTGGTTCCTGCACTCTCACACAGACATGATTACTGGATCCTTGCACTCTCACACAGACATGATTACTGGATTCTTGCACTCTCACACAGACATGATTACTGGTTCCTGCACTCTCACACAGACATGATTACTGGTTCCTGCACTCTCACACAGACATGATTACTGTATCCTTGCACTCTCACACAGACATGATTACTGGATTCTTGCACTCTCACACAGACATGATTACTGGATCCTGCACTCTCACACAGACATGATTACTGGATCCTGGCACTCTCACACAGACATGATTACTGGATCCTGCACTCTCACACAGACATGATTACTGGTTCTATGTACTGGTATCGAGTGAATTATTTTCTAGAATTCACGACGTGTGTAGTACCGAGATCAGAGTCTGATCATCTCCCTATATCATGGCTCCTTAGTGACGTCATCTAGCCTGTGACGAGCCAAGCTGCGCCTAGTATACCTCTTCTGTAAGTGCCAAGATTTGTTTATAGTGTCATAGAGTAAACCATTTCAATAAGTTTCTGTAAAACTTCATATATTCAAACAACCTAATTGTTTCCATATATATCCAAAGTGTACCGAAATTCTATCCCCTTTGTCTGTTTAATGTATTCAGCAATCATTCGGTGTAGCCCTCTTATCATAAACCCCCCTCAGGGCAGGACCCTTAATTCTTAACGACCTTGCACAACGTGGCGTAATGTCCCTATGCATAAAACCCGACTCACATGGTCACTCAGGGAGACCAAGCAGGGAGACCAGTCAGAGACGACGCGACGAAAGGGGCCCAGATGACCCACCGAAGCGGACGGACTGTGCGGTTAGTCGGGGCGTCAGCCAAGGCCGTCGCCTCACCAACGACTACGTCGACGACGAAGAATCTCCGTCCGACTTCTGAATGTGTGTAAGTGACAGAGCGGGTCTCCACATCGGGAACATTGGCCACACGGTCCCGATGTACGTTCTGTCACGTGATTTCCATCTTATGTACCATTTCGACCATTATTATCCAACCATAATAAACATGGCTGCTGCTGTCTTCAACTATACTGCTGTCTTATGTCTTCCGCCTCTTGAACTACCATCCGAGAGTACCACAACGAACGCTCTTGGACAGATGGTGGAGAAATATCCGGGTAGCGTGAGTTTGCTGTGACTCACGCACGATTCCCCTACCCTAACTCGCAGCAAAGCAACGGGTAGTTCAGAGATGGTGGTAGACAAGAGCAGCGTCAACGCCGGCCGCCATCTTGGCGGAAGAACGGAGAACACAACATACAGACACACCAGCCGACCCGACGATCATCAGCGAGACAGCAGCCCATAGCCAGCAAACTTCACAAAGTCATCCACAACAACAACCAGACCGAGCAAAGTCCATTTGTGAGTACAACAGCTTTCAAACCATCCTTCAAGATCAAGTCATCAAGCGTCAAGATTCTTCAGCAAGTGCTTCCCGTTATGTGTGTGTGACAATGTATGTGAACTTTTGTTCGAACTCTCTCAACGTTTTTGTGTTTATACGTTTCTCTCGGGCATTCTTGTTCATGCCAGGTATGTGGAATCCTCTCCAGTCATTGTTTCACGTGCGTTTATATTTGTCGTATTTTTCATCTATTGAGTATATATTGCAATCTGTATGTGATGTTATGAGACGTACATCTTTATTAGATTAAGTTTTTGAAATCGGTTAGGCTCTTACTCTACTACATATACTACGCCCTACGCATGTACGCATTTAATGCAGATCAACGCTATCTGCGGGTTCCGAGTCGTCCCATTCAAATCAGACTCCCGGTTTCAAGGATTTTTCTGATAATTTGTTCCTCTATAACTATTGCTATGACAATAACTTATAACGAGTAATGCAATACCATATTTACTCTTTGTGAAAAACGGCTAAATCTTTTCATGTGGTAATAGTAGTCGTAGAAGTATAATAAGTTATGGCTTACCAAGCTTATTTAGTGGAGACTGATTATCCAGTCTATATCCTACTTCTTCTTTTTGCCAACGTGTTTTTGTGCTTAATTATGATACCGGCGAAAATTTAGTATCCTTGTGCATAATACTTTTATGGTCTCTGGCACACAATATACAATTCGCTAAAATATCTTCAAGCCAATTTCACTTGAATTAATTTTTCATTAACTTTCGGTTAGACTTTTGAAGTTGGTTAGGTTTATTTTTTTTCTCATGCCAATTCTACTTTTAGTGCAGATCACATCTACATCTGCTAGCCTTGCCGAGTCTAGGCTCACCAATATAAGACTCCCAATTTCAAAGATCTTACTGTTGTCATGAAAATATTATATTCATATGCAAACGACGACGTATTATACACATTATGTTTTTGTGTGTACTTATCAGTCAGGTATTCCGACTGTATGGACGACCGCGAGAAGGAGTTTGCCTCTCGGTGGAAACGACCAATATTATGTTTGTTTTGTACGAGCTGGACAGCCGCTCACATGTATTTTTGTACGAGCTGGAATCTCCGCTCACCTGTGTTTTGTGTATACACCTGACCAATGTTGACAATTCGATTCATGTATTACCTTGACGTTCCTGTATAACTAATCTAATGCCAGTACGATCATTTGACTTATGATCAATGCCTGTACCAAAAAATTTGTCAACCCGTCAATGTCCCATGTATTTTACTGTATACTTGTACATCCAATATTGTCACTATTTTCCAAAAAAAAACGCTTTTGAGGACAAAAGCTCCACGACGTTCAGGGGTGTTGTCATAGAGTAAACCATTTCAATAAGTTTCTGTAAAACTTCATATATTCAAACAACCTAATTGTTTCCATATATATCCAAAGTGTACCGAAATTCTATCCCCTTTGTCTGTTTAATGTATTCAGCAATCATTCGGTGTAGCCCTCTTATCATAAACCCCCCTCAGGGCAGGACCCTTAATTCTTAACGACCTTGCACAACGTGGCGTAATGTCCCTATGCATAAAACCCGACTCACATGGTCACTCAGGGAGACCAAGCAGGGAGACCAGTCAGAGACGACGCGACGAAAGGGGCCCAGATGACCCACCGAAGCGGACGGACTGTGCGGTTAGTCGGGGCG